AGGAATTTAGAGACGTTCAGCCTGGGAAAGGGCTGGTTGATGGTTCTGAATGTAGGTTGTAATTGACATCTTCTTAGTCCCAAATTTTACTCCTGCTCTTCCCCAGCATCCCTGGTGTCTGAGAATCCTGATGGGCCGTGGGATTCTGTACATAAGTCAGCCCATTTTGATATATATATATATTTTTTTTTTGACAGGCAGAGTTAGAGAGAGAGGGAGACAGAGAGAAAGGTCTTCCTTCCGTTGGTTCACCCCCCAAATGGCTTCTACAGCCGGCACGCTGTTCCAGTCCGAAGCCAGGATCCAGGTGCTTCCTCTTGGTTTCCCATGCGGGTGCAGGGCCCAAGCACTTGGGCCATCCTCCACTGCCTTCCAGGGCCACAGCAGAGAGCTGGACTGGAAGAGGAGCAACCAGGACTAGAAGCCGGGGTGCCGGTGCCGCAGGTGGAGGATTAGCCTAGTGAGCTGCGTTGCCGGCCAGCCCATTTTGATTTTACCCCCTTGTGTTGCCAGTACCCTGAACCACAGCTTCTTCCAGCTCTGTAAATTTCTATTCATATTTGTCTTGAGAATTTAAAAACAAGATTCTCATCTGTTTATTGTGGGTTATGTTTTTTTTTGTTTGTTTTGTTTTGTTTTGTTTTTAAATTTCTTGTGTTGGGTTTATGGAGTGTTAACTTGGCTATGCTGAACTCATTTCCCAGAATTCCCCTTCTTACATGTTTCTGATTATAGTGGACCATAGGGTGATTTTTTTTTTTTTTTTAAGATTTATTTATTTGAAAGGCAGAGTTATGGGGCAGGGGTGGGGGTGGGAGACATATCTTTCACCCACTGGTTTACTCCCCAAATGACCACAAAAGCCAGAGCTAGCTTGATCTGAAGCCAGGAGCCAGGAACACCATCCAGGTCTCCCACATGGATGCAGGGACCTGAGGACTTGTGCCATCTTCCACTACTTACCCAGGTGCATTAGGAGGCTGAATCGGCAGTGGAGTAGCTGGTACTCAAATCAGCACCCATGTGGTATGTGGGTCCACTATGCCATAGGGCCGGCCCCCACAGGGAGATTTTTGTACCTAAGATAAGCCATTTATCCCTGGACAACTAAAAACACTAACTAACCCTTTCCCCAGAAGAGGATATGAAGTCTTTTTTGGGGGGAGATGGAGTGGTAGTATTCATTGTCCTAGCCAGTTTATGTTCCCTGTTTTGATATTCTGCAATGTAAATGCTGAAATAGAAAGTTAACTATTGTTAACATGTCTTACATTAGATGATAAGAAAACAAATGAACCAAAAATATTTTGAAATGTATATGTCAAACACGCATGCATTGAATTAAGGAAGAAATATTCATAAGTATTATAATCCTTATTTCTACAACTGGTCATATGGTCAGAACTGGTATTTAAAATTACCTTCTTCCACCACTCAGTCCATGCTCCCCTTGTTCTCAGCAAGCAGCTCACCTAGGCCTGGCTCCTTGCTTGGTTGGGTGGCCCAAACCTTCATTTTTGCAGTGCTGTCTGCAGTAGGTTGTGGTTTCTGCTGACTGTAGTCACAGGACACGCCTGTACTGCAGGTGTCCTCAAGGAACCGTCATGTTTCAGACGTGTTCTTCCTGACCCCCTTTGTGCAGCAGGGACCCAGTTCATCACCCCAGCCAATGCAGTAAACCCCTTCTGAAGTCTCAACTGCAGCTTCCTAGAATCATTGTTACTCCTCTGGCAGAAGTGTTAGACCAGCAAAGCCTCAAGTCACAGGGATGAGAAGTTTTGCTAAAACTAAATTTATTATTCATTGATTTCCCAAATAAATGAAGCAGAACCTTTGTCATTGCTTTTTAAAGGCATCACTGGCCCCTCAGTCACCTGAATTCTTGCCTTTACACTATGATCTCCCCCGACCCATTAGAAAATCCTGTTAGTTCTATCTTCTTTCACATTTCACTTTTATGCCCTCATATCAGTTACGACTGTAGAATAGGAGTCTCCAGGGTGGGTGTTGGGGCACAGCAGAGTAAGCCACTGTTTGGGGTACCTGCATCCCATATCAAAGTGCCTAGAGTTAAGTCCCACTTTTCCTTCCGATCCAGCTTCCTGCTAATGTTCCTGGGAGGCAGCAGGTGATGGCCTAAGTAGACACAGAGTTCCTGGATCCTGGTCTTAGCATGACCCATCCCCAACTGTTGCAGTCATTTGGGAAATGAGCCTAAGCCAGCAGATGGAAGAGAAGATCTCTCTTTTTCTCTCTCTGCCTTTAAAATAAGTCAATAAATAAATCTTTTTTAAAAAATGGGCATCACCTTCATTTACCCAGATTATAGAAATTATCTGTGAATTCTTTTCCTTGTGGGGTTGACATTTGGTGCAGTGGTTAAGATGTCACTTGGGTTTGTCTGTATCCCACAGTGGAGCCTGAGTTTGAGTCCTGGGCCCATTTCCAATTCCAGCAGCCTACTAATGCACACCTTGGGAGACAGCAGACGATGGCTAAGTAGCTGGGTCCCTGCCACCCATGTAGGAGACTTGGATTGAGTTGGGCTCCTAGCTTCAGCCTGGCCCAGCCTTACCTGTTGTGGGGATTTGGGGAATGAACCAGCAGATTGAAGATAGTCTCTCTCTCTCTCTCTGCCTCTCTCCCTACTCCCCGCCCTCCCCTTCCTCCATTTAAATGAATAAATAATTTTAAAAATCTTTCCCTACTATCCTTTTGATATTTTTCTGCTAAAACCATTTCTTAAAAAACAGATTATATTTAGTAACTCTAATAGCTTGTATGGAAGTTCCACACTCCTTAGCCAGCTGAATTCATCTGTTGTAACCAATCCAGAGGCAGATGGCTTTACCAGTTCAGAAGTTTATCCTCTCTCAGGACTTACGTGTGAATTTACAGTGTCAGGAATCCAGGTTCTTTCTGATTTGTATCCTAACCACCCACTAGTACATTGTCTTTGTTTACGTGGTCCAGAGTACTTCACCACTGTGTCAGCACTAACATGAAAAAGAAAATAATGAAGAGGAAGACGTGACTCTTCCCTTTAAGGGGACAGCCCAGAAGGTTGTGTGACTAATTTTCACTGTCAGCCAAGTGGCCAGATGTTGGCTACAAGTTCTGGCTGTAAGAGAAGTTGGAAAAGAGAGTCTCTGGGGAGCCTGTGTCCAGCTAAAAATAGAGAGGCCCTGGTGGAGAATGGTGGGAGTGGGTGTTTGGAGGAGCAGCAGCAGACTCTGCCACGGGAGACCTGCAAGGTCTCTAGAGACCGATGCTTGCTTTCACTGCCTTTTTTTTTCCCCCTTTGGATTTATTTATTTGAAAGGCAGAGAGAGAGGGGGAGAGGGAGAGAGAGAGAGAGAGAGAGAGATCTTCCATTTCCTGGTTCACTCCACTCTCCAGATGGCTGCAAGGACCGGGGCTGGGCCAAGCTGAAGCCAAGAGCCTGGAGCTTCTTCTGGGTCTCCCGTGTGGGTACAGGGGTCCAAGGATTTGGACCATCTTCTACTGCTTCTCTAGGCACATTAGCAGAGGGCTGTATTGGAAGTGGAGCAGTCAGGACTTGAACCAGTGCCCAAGTGGGATGCTAGCGCCACAGGCTATAACTTAACCCACTAGGCCACAGCAATGGCCCCTTCCTTCCTCCCTCCCTCCCTCCCTCCCTCCCTCCCTCCCTCCCTTCCTTCCTTCCTTCCTTCCTTCCTTCCTTCCTTCCTTTTTCAAAGATTTATTTATTTGAAAGGCAGAGTTACAGAGAGACAGAGAGAGAGAGAGGTCTTCTATCCACTGGCTCACTCCCTAGATGGCCAGAACTGCTGGAGCTGCAGCGATCTGAAACCAGGAGCTTCTTCCAGATCTCCCTTGTGGGTGCAGGGGCCCAAGGACTTGGGCCATCTTCCACTGCTTTCCCAGGCCAGAGCAGAGCACTGGATCGGAAGTAGAGCAGCTGGAACTTGAACCGGTGCCCATATGAGATGTCAGCACTGCAGGCAGTGGCTTTATCTGCTACCGTACCACACCCTCCCCCCACAATTTCTTAATGTGCTGCTTTTCCACTCCTCCCTCCGCCCCAGCTCTCCTGACTCTATCTCCTTGCATCACCCGTGCTAAACTCTCTGCTATGTTGGTATGTGTTTCTCTGCCTTTCCTCCAAATGCTTACTTAGCCTGAGATGCCCTCGCCACCTACTTGCCTCATCTCTAGCACACTCTGTCAGTCTGATCTCAGAGGGTTTGTCTTTCAGCACTCGCCTGAACCATCTCTTATTGTGTGAAGCCCTTACTGGGCAGCACCTTTCCTCCTGCCAGAGTCGGCCAGTCTTTCCTCTGTTGCTCTGTTATTTGCAGATCCATGTTAGTCATTGCATCTGTTGGCGCTTATTTATACTTAGGTTCTCTTTGCTCTTGATTGTAAATTCTTTGGGGTCACAGATGACATTTCATTCCTAAATCTCTTGGGTATAGTAGAGTGCCTGATTAGATAAGGGATGTGCAATAAATGTTTACTGAATGAGTGAGTCCATAGGAAAATACATATCTGTGCAGACTTTACAATGTCAGAGCACACTCTTAAGATATGGCTACTGTGTTTTTAAACTTGTGTCAGTTAATCGAGATGTGAGTGCTTGCTCCAATGATATTTATAACCATTCTATATTTTCTTGTTGTTCTATAATAAGTACCCTCAGGGTTAGTTATGCAATTTGTTGATTTATTTTTCCATTTAAAATGAGTGGGCTTTGCTGTCTTTCCTGTGACTTGCTGTAGGAGATGTGTTGAAATGAATTAATAATACTGACATGATTTCCAAAGCCTGTCCTAAGACTTTCTGAGCACTGCCACCCTAACATACTGGTCTGAACATGGAGATGGCTCAGAATTGTTCATGGCTGAAAGAGTCATTGTTGTAAACAAACTCTAAAATGAGAGTGCCTTAAATATTCTTACATGGAGAATTTTTTTCTGCTTTACTGTCTTGAGTAATATCTTTTGTTTTACTTGTAGATTTGATGGTCCTCGAAGATTTGAGGATTTAGGGTCAAGGTGTGAAGGACCGAGACCCAAAGGGCCTCGTTTTGAAGGAAATCGCCCCGATGGGCCAAGACCCAGATATGAAGGTCACCCAGCAGAGGGCACTAAAAGCAAATGGGGAATGATTCCCCGGGGGCCAGCATCTCAATTTTATATTACCCCCAATACATCCCTAAGTCCTCGACAAAGTGGACCACAGTGGAAAGGCCCCAAACCAGCTTTTGGACAGCAACATCAGCAGCAGCCTAAGTCACAAGCAGAGCCTCTTTCAGGAAGCAAAGAACCATTAGCAGACACCAATAGTAACCAGCAGAAGAATTTTAAAATGCAATCAGCTGCATTTCCCATGGCTGCAGATGTAAAGGATGCCAAGGCGGCTCAGTCAGATGAGAATCTAAGCGACTCTCAACAAGAGCCACCTAAAAGCGAAGTCTCGGAAGGGCCCATAGAGCCTTCTGATTGGGACCCGAATTCTCAAAGTGTGGAGACTCAAATGGACAAAGCCCAAGCTGTTACTCAGCCTGTATCTCTTGCAAATAAACCTGTACCTGCTCAATCTACTTTTCCCTCAAAAGCTGGGGGGATGGAGGGAGGAACAGCAGTAGCAACATCATCATCATTAACTGCAGATAATGATTTTAAACCTATGGGTATTGGTCTGCCCCATCCTGAAAACAACCAAGATAAAGGTTTGCCCCGGCCAGATAGCAGAGATAATAGGTCAGAAGGCAATCGAGGCAGCAGCTCATCTTACAGAGGTCCAGGGCAAAGCAGAATGGAAGACACTCGAGATAAAGGACTGGTAAATAGAGGTCGTGGCCAGCCAATCAGTCGAGGCCCAGGGTTGGTCAAACAAGAAGACTTTCGTGATAAGATGATGGGCAGGAGAGAAGATAGTCGAGAGAAGATGAGCAGAGAAGGCAACCGGGATAGGGGGCTGATGAGGCCAGGAAACAGTCGGGAGAAAGTGCCAGGTGGTCTGCAAGGCAGCCAGGAAAGGGGTAGGGCTGGCAGCCGGGAAAGGGGGCTACCTCGGAGGGCCGGTAGTCTGGAGAGAGGACCCCCTCGAAGGGCTGGGAGTAGGGAGAGAGTACCACCCCGCAGAGCTGGGAGCAGGGAAAGGGGACCTCCTCGAGGGCCTGGCAATCGGGAGAGGGGACTAGGAAGACCAGATTTTGGTCGTGATAGAGGTCTATTCCGACCAGAACCAGGAGATGGTGGGGAAAAAATGTATCCCTATCACCGGGATGAGCCTCCGAGGGCTCCATGGAACCATGGCGAAGAGAGAGGGCATGAAGAGTTCCCATTAGATGGTAGAAGTGCTCCAATGGACCGAGAAAGACTTGATGATTGGGATAGAGATAGATACTGGAGAGAGTGTGAACGTGACTATCAAGATGATACACTTGATCCATATAATAGAGAGGACAGGTTCTCAGGGCCTCCATCAAGGTCTCATGATGGAGATCGGCGAGGCCCTTGGTGGGAAGATTGGGAGAGAGACCAGGATATGGATGAGGACTACAATAGGGAAATGGACAGGGACATGGACAGGGATGTGGATCGAATTGGAAGACCCATGGATATGTATGATAGAAATCTGGATAATGAGTGGGACAGAGATTATGGGAGACCACTGGATGAACAAGAATCACAGTTTCATGAACGCGATATTCCGTCTCTTCCGCCTTTACCACCCCTCCCACCTCTTCCACCTCTGGATAGATATCGGGATGATAGATGGAGAGAAGAAAGAAATCGAGACCATGGGTATGATCGAGATTTCCGTGATAGGGGTGAGTTGAGAATTCGAGAGTATCCAGAAAGAGGAGATACGTGGCGGGAAAAGCGAGATTATGTTCCTGACAGAATGGACTGGGAAAGAGAACGGTTGTCAGACAGATGGTACCCATCTGATGTGGAGAGACATTCCCCCATGGCGGAACATATGCCCTCCTCACATCATTCCTCTGAAATGATGGGGTCCGATGCAAACTTAGACTCTGATCAAGGCCTTGGAGGGGTGATGGTTCTCAGTCAGAGGCAGCACGAAATCATTTTGAAAGCTGCACAAGAACTGAAAATGCTTCGGTAAGTTGACTCCTTAAGATCTTTTCTTTTTACTCAACACCACATTCGGTCTGCTCTTTTTTAAAGTGAAATGATGTATTTGAATGGAATCATTTTACTTCAAGTTCTTATATACTTTTAATTTCTCATCATCCAGTGCGTTTTAGGGTTAGCGTGGGTTTGTGGGAACAGTGTGAACTATAAACCTGTGCCCCGAGACGTGAGAAAGGCTTGCTGTTCTTGGCCTTTGTAGCTGTGCTGCTGCCCTGCCATGCCTGCGCATGCTTCAGGTGTCAAACTTCCCTTTCCAGGCTCTGGATTTCACAGGCCCCGTGCATAACCTCCGCCTGTTCCAGGAGGCAGTTTGCTCTTTGGTATTAAATCTGCTAGACTTTATATTCACTAATCTTTGATTATAACTTTGGAAAGTGCTGAATTTTTTTCTCTGTTGAAACTGAGAGTGATTTACTTTCAAGCATCCTCAGATTTGTTTAACTATTGATACTTTCTTTTTAGTTATCTTTCATTATAACCAGAGTCAGATATTTTCTGCTTGAGGCTGTTACTTGTTTGTTCATAATCAGATATTTTCTTTGAGAGATGATGAATAAAATTCGAATTTCTTGACTTACAATCAACCACATATAGGTATCTACATAATGTTTCCCAGGTAGTGGCAATAACAACAAAGCTAACATTTATTGCATGCTTAACTCTTCTAGGAACTGATCTAAGTGTTTATATAACAACCCATTAAATCCTTAAACCAGCCATATCCCAGGAGAGGAAGTTGAGAGTCAGTGACAACTTTTAAAGTAGTTTTTTTTTTTCTTTTTAGAAAATAAGCTAATGATTAGGTTTTGAATCAATTCAAATGTATTGTGGTACTTTCATTTTTCTATTTCGGTCTACATTTGTGGATTATGCCATAGAAACTGTAATAGAAACTTTAGGACTAGAAAAGTATGAGGAAGGACACCTGTAGGTAAAGACAAAAAGGCCACTTGCCTTAGTTAGTAAAACAGGTTTTGTCACTTCCGGAGAATATAATCTGAGAGGTTTATTCTTCCCAGATTACTCGTGAAGAAGATGTGGAAAGCACGTCATAGGACGTTTAGCTGCTGCACTGTTCTCTTCTGAACTGTTGATACTTCTGATTTGACACCTACTGTGTGCCAGGCACTGTGCTAATAACTTAATGTATATTGTCTCAACGCTCCTTTCTCAAATCTTTATATCTCAAAGGCCTGCAAAGATAAGTGGTATCATCCCCACTTCACAAAGGACACTAAGGCTCAGAGACGTTACGTCCACTCTGCCAGTAAGTGGCAGACTCAGAATTTGAACTCTGTCTGACTGTACGATCTGTTATTTATGGAGAACATCAGGCTGATTGGCGTTGCTAACCTGCTAGGGTTTCTTTTCTTTTGAAATTTTCTTTTCATCCACTATTGCTTTGCATATAAATGCTGGGTAAAAGGTGCTGCTTCTTCATCATCCCTTTTTTTAAAAACTCTTTCTAGGCCACATGAACACAATTAAAATAAACAAAGAGAGAATAGTGGTCATAGTTGAAGAGAGGTGGATTATGTTGCTTTGGGGTACAGCTGTAAGGACTATCACAGGAATGTGATTTACATGAGGCCGAAAGCAGTCCTACATACTTGATTCTCACCTTATGTCTGTTTGGCCCACCACACTGTACAAAATGTAAGGAGGAGTTCTAAAAGGTCTGAGGAGGTTGTAGAGATTTTAAACATGTTTCAGATAGGCATGGTAAGAAAAAATTAAAGGAACTTAACCAGGATTTAAAGAAAAACCTGAAGGTTTACATAATTAATTAATGTTTAGAAATATGAAACATTGTTGTTAAAGCTATAGACTAACATTTGTTCTCATTTACAGCAGGGTCCATGATATAAATATCCATAAGAATCAGAAATGTAACAAAAATGAGTGAAAGTGGACCAGCTGTAATCGGTATAGTGTGGTGGGGATTATGGAAACTGCTTATCTAACATGGGCAGCTTCTGCTCCACTCATTGTTGGCATGTGGGCATATAAGCCTATTATTACCAAATCTCTTCAGAATTGGAGTTTATATGTAAAATATTTTGTTTAATGAATAAGAGCAGCTAATTCAAATTTATAAAATTAATGTGAAAGCCAAGTAAAAAACCTTTTCTGGACCATTTTGCAATCTTTGGTCTAAAGAGTATTAAAAAAATAGTAAGAGAGCTTTTGGTGGGATGAAGGAAAAACCTGACAAGTAGATGATACATTAGAATAGATGTTGAGGCCAGTTGTAGAATCCATCCTGGAATATCTTCAGTAATTGATAATTATATATAGGTCATATATAACTGATGAATTATCTGCATAAAAGCAAAAGTGTTACACAGAGGTGTTATCAGGCACTGCTTAGGATTGTAGGATCAGGTTTTTAGGTCTCTTTTTTTAAGGTTTGATATTAACTGTAGACATTTAGGACTTAATATGGAGTAAATGGAGTAAACATGTCTTATGTGCAGTGGCAATTTTATTGTTTACAGGGAACAGAAAGAACAGCTTCAAAAGATGAAGGACTTTGGGTGTGAGCCACAGATGGCCGACCACCCACCACCACAGGATTCAAGGTTGCAGAACACACCTTCAAGACCCACCATGTATCCGGTATGGGAAAAGGTGTTCTCAGAAAATGAGACGGTTTCTACTCTGTATGTTTATATGTTGTTTGATTCTTTTTTACATTACAATAAGTGTAAATTTTCTCTGTGGAAAGTGTACATTTTGGTAAAGTAAAAACTGGTAATTGACCTTTGACCATCTTGTAGGTACAGTCAAAACTACGGCAGAAATGCTGCTTTTCCCAGGTTTTGCTGAGTACACCAGGCACACCTGAATTGCATGACTTCATGTTCACAGAATTGTATTGTTTTCCTTATAAGTTTCTATGTCCAAATAGGCCTGTTTTCCCCTCTCTGCAGGGCTAGATGTGAGCCTCTTAGTGATGCTTATCCGTTTAGGCCACTAGCTCTTCAGCAGGGGAGGAGATCAAACGTCACACTCCAGTCCATATGCTAGTACTGTTCACTAAGTTGTGAAAAGGGGTGCTTATGTTTTGTTTTCTTTGATTTTTTTTTCTAAAGATTTATTTTATTTATTTGAAAGACAGTTACAGAGAGGGGTAGAAACAGAGAGAGAGGTCTTCCATCCGCTGGTTCACTCCCCAGATGGCCGCAACGGCCAGAGCTGCACCGATCCGTAGCCAGGACCCTCTTCCGGGTCCCCCACACAGGTGCAGGGTCCCAAGGACTTGGGCCATCTTCTATTGCTTTGCCTGGCCATAGCAGAGAGCTGGATTGGAAGAGGAGCAGCTGGGACTAGAACCAGCGCCCATATGGGATGCCTGTGCTTCAGGCTAAGGCTTTAACCTAACGCTGTGCCACATGCCTGCCCAACTGGTTTGGGCTTTTTGTTTTTCTCATTTGTGATTTACCTTTAAGCCAGTGATAAGCTTTAAAAAAGATACCATGCAACTGATTTCATGACAGCACATTAAGGGGAACAGCCACTGCTGAGCCGTTTTTCCAAGCTAACTCTTCCTTTCTCAGTGCTCTCTTCCAACTTGTCTGACATGTCACACTCAAGCACAGTGTTGACATCAGTGACTGCCATGGTGACGTTGAGTCCCCGGATCCTGTCTCCTGACCCTTGTATGCACACGCAGTGTCTCTCTAGATCTGTCTCCTGTCAGACTCAACATGCTCAGAATGGGCTCAAAGTCATCTCCCATCGAGCTGTTCTTTTTCCTCACTGTCATCTGGTCACCATAATTCAACATGGCAGTCAGCCCCATGCTCCGTTTACCACCTTCTTAATATTGCTGAGGTATTTTCATCCACTTCCCACAACCTCAGTTCCAGCCTCGGTCAGTTCTTGCCAAGGTTACTTCAGGAACATTCTCATTCATCTCTGTCCATCTCATTCCACTGTCAGAGTGAGTAATGTATATTAGTGGCTGTTCTGAGTCTGAACTAGTGGCCAGTAAACTGAAAACAAACCAGAAACAATGAACTTAAGAGAAATGGGAACTAAGTGTTTGAGTCAAGCTTAGAAGATTAAAATATATTTGGAGTTTCAGTGTTGAATGGATGGGACCTGTCTGCCAAAACATGCTACCCATCTCTTTAATGCAAATTTCTCTTGGCATTTGGTGGTTGCTTTTAGAAAACAAATGTGGGGCCAGCACTGTGGTGTAGCGGGTAAAGTCGCTGCCTGCAGTGCCAGCATCCCATATGGGCACCGGTTCTAGTCCTGGCTGCTCCACTTCCAATCCAACTCCCTGCTATGGCCTGGGAGGGCAAAGGAAGATGGCCCAATTGGGAGACCTGGTAGAAGCTCCTGGCTCCTGGCTTCAGATCAGCACAGCTCCCACCATTGCGATCGACTGGGGAGTGAACCAGTGGATGGAAGACCTCTCGCTCTCTCTGCCTCTCCTTCTCTCTGTGTAACCTTTTTTTTTTTTTTTTTTTTTTGATTTATTTGACAGGTAGAGTTAGAAGGTGAGAGAGAGAGAGAGAAAGGTCTTCCCTCCGTTGGTTCACCCCCCAAATGGCCGCTACGGCCAGAGCTATGCCGATCCGAAGCCAGGAGCCAGGTGCTTCCTCCTGGTCTCCCATGCGGGTGCAGAGATCCAAGGACTTGGGCCATCTTCCACTGCCTTTCCAGGCCATAGCAGAGAGTTGGATTGGAAGTGGAGCAGCCAGGGCTTGAACTGGCGCCCATATGGGATGCCAGCACTGCAGGTGGCGGCATTTCCCGCTATGCCACAGCGCCGGCCCCATCCTTTTAGTTGCTTTTTTTGGTTTCTCAGTGCTTATGTTATTTGTTGATCCTACCCTTGCCACAAACTACTGTTGTCAAGCAGACAACTGAAAGGAATAGCAGTCCAGGGGCCATCCGCCATCCCGAGTTTGTTTCTCATACTGGAAGGTTACTGGTTTTGTAGATGAGATAGGGAGTAGAAAGATAATTTATAGCTGACGTTCTTAAGGAATGAACATAATAATTATTATAGATTTTGTTTTGTTTTAAAGATTTATTTATTTTAATTGAAAGGCAGAGTTACAGAGAGGCAGAGGCAGAGAGAGAGAGAAATCTTCCATCTACTGGTTCACTCCCCCAATGGCTGCAACGGCCATAGCTGGGGCAATCTGAAGCTAGGAGCCAGGAGCTGCTTCCAGGTCTCCAATTTGGGTACAGGAGCCTAAGCATTTGAGCCATCTTCTACTGCTTTCCCAGGCCAGAGCAGAGAGCTAGATCGGAAGTGGAACAGCCGGGACTCGAACCAGCATCCATATCAGATGCTGGCACTGCAGGCAGCTGCTTTACCCCCTACGCCACGGCACCAGCCCCTTGTTTTTGTTTTAAACTAAGGACCCCACACTCAGAAATTCGGTTGGTTTGGGGTGGGCCTGAGACATTTGAGTCTAAGTGGATACTACCCTATTTTGGGGTAAGGAGAAGAAAGAAAGGGTGTGGTGCATTGTTGGAATAGATGATAATGTTGAGAGCAGTTTCTTTTTCTCTTCCTTTTTTTCTGAGTGAGAAAGAGATCTTGGATCTGCTGATTTACTCCCCAAATACCCACAGCAGCAAAAGCTGGGCCAGGCCAAAACCAGGAGCCTAACACTTCACCCAGGTCTCCCTTCTGGGTAGCAGGCACCCAAGTATAGCTATTGTTCCCCAGGGTGTACATTAACAGGAAGCTGGATCAGAAACTGAGGCGGGACTCCATCCCAGGCACTCTGATGTAGGGTGTGGGCATCTCAAGCAGCAGTTGTACCACAGTACCCTCCCTTCTTTTATTCCTTCTTCTAAGCAACTTTATTTAGGTGTAATTCATATGTCATACAGTTCACCCAATTTAAATGTAGACTTCAGTAATTTTTAAAAATTAAATTCAACAAGCAGCTGTCACAGTTATAAACCACTTTTAGAACATTTCATCACCCTAGTAAGATCCCTCTGCCAGTTTGCAAATTAATCCTTATTCCTGCTCTCAGTTCCAAGCAGCCCTTACTTCGAGGTTTGCCTTTGTGGGCATTTCATGTAGATGGAATCATGTAGTATATGCCCTTTTGCATCTGTTTTCTTTTACTTAGCATAATATTTTCAGTTCATTCATGTGATGCATGAATCAATATTCTGTGTCTCTCTCTCTTTTTTTTTAAAGACATTTATTTATTTATTTGAAAAGCAGAGATGCAGAGAGTGGGGGGTCTTCCATCCCTTGGTTCACTCCCCAAATGGCCACAATGACTGGAGCTGGGCTGATCTGAAGCCAGGAGCCAGGAGCCTCCACCAGGTCTCCCAAACAGACACAGGGGCCCAAGGATGTGGGCTGTCTTCCACTGCTTTCCCAGGCCACAGCAGAGAGCTGGATGGGAAGTGGAGCAGCCAGGTCTCAAAGCATCACCCATATGGGATGCCAGCACTACAGGCGGGCGGCTTTACCTGCTCCGCCACAGTGCCGGCCCCTCTATATCTTTTATCACTGAATAATAATGCATTGTGTGTATATACCATATTCTGTTTATCCATTCATCAGTTCACAGACATTTGGGTTGCTAAATAACTGATGTTTGTATGCAATTTTTTGGGTGGATGTATGTTCTTATTTTTCTTGGACAAATACCTGGAAATGAAATCACTGGGTTCTTTTCAGAATGACAAACCATTTTCCAAAGTAGTGACACTATTTTATATCCCCACTAAAAGTCTAAGGGGGTTCTTCTCTCTCCACGTCCTCACAATCATTTGTTTTTATGTGTCTTACTACTTAGATCCATTCTAGTCAGTGTAAAATGGTACCTCAATATGGTTTTAACTTACATTTCTCTAGTAATATTGAGTTTCTTTTCATGTACTTATTGGCCATTAATGTATCTTCTTGGTAGAAATAACCCTTCAAATCTTTAGCCTATATGTATATTTTTATTGTGTGTCTTACTGAATTTTTAGAGTTTCATGTATTCTGAATTCAACTATTTCATCAGATAAGAGATTTACATAAATTTTCTACCTCTGTGTTTGTGGCATATCTTTCCATTTTTCTGATGGTGTCGTAAGCACAAAGTCTTAAATTTTGAATGAATCCAATTTATTAATTTTCTCTCTTATAAAATATTTATTTTATTGGGGCCAGCACTGTGACATAGTAGACTAAACCTCCACCTGCAGCACCGGCATTCCATATAGGTGCTGGTTCATGTCCCAGCTGCTCCTCTTCCGGTCCAGCTCTTTGTTAATGGCTTGGGAAAGCAGTGGAAGATGGCGCAAATGCTTGGGCCTCTGCACCCATGTGGGAGGCCTGGAGGAAGCTCCTGGCTTCATGGCTTTGGATGAGCTCAGCTCCGGCCATTGCAACCATTTGGGGAGTGGATCAGCAGATGGAAGACCTTTCTCTTTGTCTCTCCCTGTTTCTGTGTGTAACTCTACCTCTCACATAAATTTTTTTAAAAATATATTTATTTATTTATTTATTTGAAAGGCAGAGTTAGAAAGGTACAGAGAGAGGGAGATATCTCCCATCCACTAGTCACTCCCCAAATGGCTGCAATGGCCAGTGCTGGGCTAGACTGAGGCCAGGAGCCTAGAACTCCATTCAGGTCTCCTACATGGGTATTAGGGACCCAAGGACTTGGGTCATCTGCTGCTGCTTTCTCAGACCTATTAGCAGGGAACTGGATTGGAAATAGAGCAGCTTGGACTTTAACCAGTGCTCATATAGGATGCTGGCATCACAGCTGGTGGCTTAACCCTCTATGCCACACTGCTGCCCCCTAATTTTTTTCTTTTATGTATCAGAACCTGATTTTAATTTCCACTTATCTGTAAAAAATTGTGGCATGCTCATCCACTAAGCTATTTGCTCTGTTCTCTAGCCTCCAGGATCCTATAGACCGCCCCCTCCTATGGGCAAACCACCAGGTTCGATTGTAAGACCCCCTGCTCCACCAAGATCATCTGTTCCTATGACCAGGCCTCCGGTCCCAATACCTCCACCTCTACCACCTCCACCTCCGCCTCCGCCTCCTCCTCCAGTGATAAAGCCACAGACTTCAGCTGTGGAACAGGAACGCTGGGATGAAGATTCTTTCTATGGGCTGTGGGATACAAATGATGAACAAGGATTGAATTCAGAATTTAAGCCTGAAACAGCATCAATTCCATCTGCTCCAGTATTACCACCCCCACCTATTCACTCTTCCATTCCACCTCCTGGCCCAATGCCTATAGGTATGCCACCAATGTCCAAACCACCACCAGTACAGCAGACTGTTGATTATGGCCATGGTAGAGGTAAGTAATGGTAGTATTTGGGGTTCTGTAGGAATTGTTATTCTTATATCTTAAGCTTTCACTGTTTCCTTAAGTTTCACTGTTACAACATTTTATTCTTGGTTTTGTTTGCCAGATATATCCTCTAATAAAGTTGAGCAGATACCCTATGGAGAAAGAATAACTCTACGCCCAGATCCACTACCTGAAAGGTCAACCTTTGATACAGGTAGGATTTCCAGAGAGAATAGCATTTTTTTTATTTTATTTTTTAAGATTTATTTATTTATTTGAAAGTCAGTTACAGAGAGAGAAATCAATCTTCCATCCACTGATTGACTCCCTAAATTTCCTGAACATCAGCCAGGGCTGGGCCAGGCTGGAGCCAGGAGCCAGGAGCTTCATTTGGGTCTCCTACATGAATGCAGCGGCACAAGCACTTGGGCCATCTTCCACTGCTTTCTCAGGCACATTAGTAGGGAGCTGGACCAGAAGTGGAGCAGCCAGGAATTGAACTGGCACCATAGTGCTAGCCCCAAGAGTAGTATTTTTAAATGTTTTTGGGCCTAATTATCACATGAATTTCCTTTTGGTAAGATTTTCAGGGCCTTCTTTTAGTATAGCTAAAAGATTGTTACTGAATTTAGGACAGCAGTTTATACTAGTTCTAAAGCTAGATTTGTATTTTTTTGTTTTTCTTTCCAAAAAAGGGATACAGTTCTTGTTTTGTACTAATTGTTTTTGTAGAGCATGCAGGCCAACGTGATCGTTATGATAGGGACAGAGACCGTGAGCCTTATTTTGATCGTCAAAGTAATATTATAGCAGATCATCGAGATTTTAAAAGAGATCGAGAGACACATAGAGATCGAGACCGGGATCGTGGTGTTATTGACTATGACCGGGATCGATTTGACAGAGAACGCCGACCCCGAGATGACAGGTATGCTATGAAAACTGCTAGGTGTGCAGAGTACCAGATAAATGAGTTCAGCAAAAGTTAGTGTATTTAAGGGAAATGTAGTTGATAACCTATTCACATGCATATGTGTGTCTGATCTGGAGAGAGAAGAGCAGTTCTGGACCAACTTTCAGGAAAGTAGGTATCTGAGTTTTACTAGTTTGAATTCCAGAGGGTTATATAGGAAATGAAGATAGTCAGAAAGAAAAGGAAATGTTATTGTCAAATTTAGAAGCATTCATGTCTTAATTAGTAGGTAAAGGATTTATCTTTGAAATTTCTGAGCTTTGTAGATGTTTATGTAAAGTAGATATAAAATAAAAATCAAAGCAAAATATGGACCATGTAGAACAACTACCCATAGAGAAAATTGGGCAGATGATGGTGTTGTATTCTGAAACATAGACCTCTGTATATTTTCTGTACACCAAACAATTTCCTGTTTTACCTTCTAGGACTCAGTCATATCGAGACAAAAAAGACCATTCTTCATCCAGGAGAGGGGGGTTTGATAGGCCATCCTATGACCGGAAGTCTGACCGCCCAGCCTATGAAGGGCCATCCATGTTTGGAGGTAGAGTGATATCTATAATTACAAGGATGTTAAGCATGTAAAGAAAGTTGAAGCATAATTTCTTTATGGTGCTTTTTCTAAGATTAATTTGTTTATTTGAAAGGCAGAATGAGAAAGGCACATCTTCTGTCCGCTAGTTCACACCCCAAATGGCTGCAATAGCCAGGACTAGGCCAGGCTGAAGCCAAGAGCCAGGAAATCCATCCTGGTCTCTGACATGGGTGGCAGGGGCCCAAGTACTTGGACCATCATCTGTTGCCTCCCAGGTACATAATCGGAAACTGGTCCAGAAGCAGGATAGCCCTCAAACTTGCACTCAGATACGAAATGTTGGCATTGCAAACAGCACTTAACCCACTGTGCCACGACACCAAACTCTTTTTTGGTGCTTTTTCTGATTGATTCTATACCATACACAGCTTTCCATATGTAAACCTATTAGTGGCTCTGTGACTTTTAATTGAGTGGATAAAATATAAGACCCTTACTGTTGGATGCTTTGGTTGCTTTTAGCTTTTCACTGTTACCAATTTTACTTAACTAGAAACTCATACCTATTTATAGGAACAAGCTTTCGTAAATTGATGATGCTTGTTCTTAGAACTATAAAGCAGAGTTTACAAAACTATTGTCACATGTGGACTATCCAGCAGAGTATTTATTATTCTGTGTTCTGTTGCTTAACTGTATTCTTAGATTTAAATATTTATTTATATGAAAGGCTGTGTCACATACACATGCGTGTGCATACACACACACACACACACACAATCTTTGATTTGGTTCACTCTCCAAATGGCCACAAACAGCAGTGCTGGGCCAGGCTGAAGCCAAGAGCCAGGACCTCCATCTGAGTCTCCCACAGTGGGTGACAGGGATTCAAGGTCTTGAGCCATCTCCTGCTGCTGCACATTAGTAGGGAACTGTATCAGAAGTGGAGTAGCCAGGACTGGAACCAGCATTCTGTTAGAGGATGTGGTGGTGGCTTAACCTGCTGCACTGTGATACCCACCCACACCTTTTCTTACATTTTGTACAAGCAAGGATGAATTCAGTATTTTGTTTGCTTGAAATCATAGCTAAGTCTTCTCGTTTTCTTGATTTTGGTAGGATTATATTAATCTTTCTCTATTTAAGGTTTAAAGTGGCCCTCAAACCACTAGACTTAGTAATTTTGTTCAACTGCTGGAATTCTAGGAGAACGAAGGACTTACCCAGAGGAACGAATGCCCTTGCCAGCCCCTTCACTAAGCCACCAGCCTCCTCCGGCTCCCCGGGTTGAGAAGAAGCCCGAATCAAAGAACGTGGATGACATTTTGAAACCACCAGGCCGAGAGAGCAGACCTGAGAGAGTGAGTCCTATGGAGTTGACCAGTGTACTGTAAATCTGAAGATAAGAGGTCTTTATAGAGCTTTTCTTGTGTGCTGTTACTATTTGGCTACTTCAACTTTCCTGTGGTTGCTGTTTGCATGCTACGGTAGTCCCCCCTTTTCCACTGTTCTGGTTTCCATAGTTTCTGTTAACCCACAGTCAGCAATGATAATATTATACAGTTCCAGAAATAAGCAATTCATAAGTTTTAAATACACGCCATTCTAAGTAGTGTGATGAAATCTTATGCCATCTTGCTGTGTCCTGCTTAAGAAGTGAATAATCTTTTTTGTCCCTCTTATCTGTACTGTATATACTACCCACCTATTAGTCATTTAGTAGCTGTCTTGGTTATCACATCAGTTGTCACCGTATCTCAGTGCTTGTGTGTAAGATTCACTATTATCCTTGGTTTTAGATTTCTCTTGAGGGACTTGGAATGTATCCCCCATGGATAAAGGTTTACTACTGTATGTCTTCTACCATATAAACTTCTGGTTTATTCCTATCTTTGAATGTAAAATCTGTCTCCTGTAGGAAAAAGATTAATTGAGTTGTATTTTTTTATGCAGTCTGACTGTCTCTGCCTTTTGACTGTATCGCTTAATACATTCACAATTTTTATATACATATAATTGATTAATTTAATTTTTTTTTTGAATTATTCATTGCAAAGTATATAGAAATACAGTTGGTCTTTGTGTACCCACCTTACATTCTACAACATTGCTGAACTCATTTACTAGTTCTAACAGAATTGTGGTGAATTCTTGGGATTTTTCTGTATGATAGATCATGTCATCTGCAAATACAGTTTTACTTCTTTCTGTGAAGAACACCTGCTTCTGGCTAGAAGTTCCTGTACAGTGTTGGACAGATGTGGCGGAAGTAGGCATCCTGCTCTTATTTCTGATCTTACAGGGAAAATGTCTTGTCTTTTGCCATTAATTGTGATGTTATCTGGGATTTTTAGAGATGCATTTTATCAAGTTGAGAAAGTTCTATTGTTAGTTGTGAATGTTTTTACCATGAGAGGAAGTTGGATTTTGCTCTGGGTAAAAGCCAACTTTTTGTATCAGTTCAATTGATAACTCCTTTGTTTTTGTTTTTTAGTCTGTTGATATAGTGTATCATATTGGTTGATTTTTGTATGTTAACTTGTATCCCTGAAGTAAATTCTACTTGGTCATGGTATTCTTTGTTTTTTTCTAATATTTATTTATTTGAAAGGCAGAGTGACAGAGAAAGAGAGAAAACAAAACAAAACAGGGGATCTTGCAGTCACAACAAATGGCCACAACAGTCAGGTCAGGGCCAGGCTGAAGCCAGGAGCAGGAATACAGGTGGCAAGGGCCCAAGCACCTGGACTGTTTTCTTCAGCCTTCACCAGATGCGTTGTCAGGAGTCTGGATCCTAAATAGAGCAGCTGGGACTTGAACTGGCACTCTCATATGGGATGCCAGCATCATAAGCCACCACTTAACCCACTGTGCCACAATGCCAGTCCCAATGTGTCTATTATGTGTTGGTAGGTAGTTTACTAGTATTTTGTTGAAGGTTATTGTATTCATATTCATAACACATAGTTTTCTTGTGATGTCTTTGCTTTCTGTATCAGGGTAATGCTGGCCTTATAAAAAATTGGGAATTATTACTTCCTCTTCTGTGTTTTAGAAGAATTTTTAAAGAATTGGTGTTAATTATTATTATTTTTTTTTTTTGACAGGCAGAGTTAGAGAGAGAGAGACAGAGAGAAAGGTCTTCCTTTTTCTGTTGATTCACCCCCCAAGTGGCCGCTAAAGCTGGCACGTTGCATCCGGTGCGCTGCACTGATCCGAAGCCAGGAGCCAGGTGCTTCCTCCTGGTCTCCCATGCGGGTGCAGGGCCCAAGGACCTGGACCATCCTCCATTACACTCTAGAGCCACAGCAGAGAGCTGGACTGGAAGAAGAGCAACCAGGACAGAATCTGGCGCCCCGACCGGGACTAGAACCCAGGGTGCTGGCGCCGCAGGCAGAGGATTAGCCTAGTGAGCCACGGCGCCAGCCAAATTGGTGTTAATTCTTTAAACATTTGCTAGAATTCAGTAATGAAACCATTTTGATCTGGGCTTTTCTTAGTGGGTGGTTATTTTTATTGGTAATTCAATCTCTTCACTTGTCAGAGGTCTGCTCAGGTTGTCAGTTTCTTCTTCAGTCAGTTTTTAAAAAAATTTATTTATTCAGAAGGCAGAGTGACAGAGGGAGAGACAAAGATCTTCATCTAATGGTTCATTCCCCCAAATGGCCATGACAGGGCAGCCAGGAGCTCCTCCTGTGTCTCCCATCTGGAAGTCATGGGTCCAAATATGCAGACAATCTTGAGCTGCCTTCCTAGGTGCATTAGCAGGAAGCTGGATTGGAATAAGAGCAACCAGAACTCAAACCAGCATTTCAATATGGGATTCTGGTATCACCGGCAACTTCAGCTTAACCTGCTACACCACAACTGATATGGGATGCCAGTGTAGTAAATGACTGCTTAACCTGCTGTGCCACAACACCAGTCTCTAAATTTCCCTTTAAATGCTGTTTTTAGCTTTATCCCATAGTTTTGGTATGTTAGGTTTTCATTTTCATTCATTTCAGAGTATTTTCTGGTTTCTCTTTTGATTTCTTCTTTGACTCAATGATTATTTAGGAGTGTGTTGTTTCACTTCCACATATTTTTTAATGTTCCCTATTGTTCCCTACATTGCTTTCTTTTTTTTTTTTTCTTTTTTTAAGATTTATTTGTTGGACCCATACTGTGGCATAATGGGTAAAGTTGCTGCCTGCCCTGCTGGCATCCCATATGGGCACCCATTCGAGTCCCGGCTTCTCCACTTCTGTTGCAGTTTCTTCCTAATGAGCCTGCAAAGCAGCAGCAGATGGCCCGAGTCCTTGGGCCCCTGCACCCACATGAGAGTTCTGGATGAAGTCCTGGTTCCTGGCTTTGGCCTGGCCCAGCCCTAGCCATTGCAGCTATTTGGGGAGTGAACCAGAGGATGGAAGATCTTTGTCTGTCTGTCTGTCTGTCTCTCTCTCTCTCTCTCTCTCTCTGCCTCTGCCTCTCCTTTTCTTTAACTCTGCCTTTCTAATAAATAAATAAATCTTTTCTAAAAATTTATTTATTTATTAGAAAGGCTGAGTGACAGAGAGAGAGACAAACAGAGGTCTTCCATCTGCTGGTTCACACCCCAGAAGACCACAACAGTCAGGATTGGGCCAGGCTGAAGCCAGATCCAGGAACTCCATCCTGGTTTCTTACATCGGTGGCAGGGACTCAAGTACTTCATCCACCATCTGCAGCTTTTCCAGCAGCACTAGTAGGAAGCTGATTGGGAAGCAGTGCAGCCAGGACTCAAACTAATGCTCCAGTGTGGGATGCCAGCATCGCAGGCGGCAACTTAACTCGCTGCACCACATTGCCATTCCCCCTCCTGTTACTTTCTAATCTCATTCCATTGTGGTCAGATAACGTACTTTCAATTACTTCTACCCTTTCAAGTATAGGAAGGTTTGTTTCATGGCCTGCCATGTGATCTATTAGGGAGAATGATAGGTCATTTTTAACTGAGATCTCATTGCAAAACAAATCATCTCTGAATGACTTTTTTTGGGGGGGATCTGTTGCATTTCAGATTGTTGTCATAATGAGAGGATTGCCTGGTAGCGGGAAGACACATGTTGCAAAACTTATTCGAGTGAGTATGGAAAAACTGACAAGACCAATTGTTTGCCTTAGCTACTTGCCTTCTTAGTAAGTAGAGTGATATTGACGTAGGTAACTCCCAATTGACCTGTATCCCATGTAGCTCATATAAAGTATTTACTTTCATTTTATTTGAAAGGCAAACAGCGAGATCTTTCATCTGCTAGTTCATTTACCAAATGCCCATAACAGCCAGGGCTGGACCAGGCCAAAGTCAGGCGCTTAGAACTTAATCTGGGTCTTCCACATGTGTGGTAGGAACCCAAGTACTGGAGCCATCACCCATTGCCTCCTAGGGTGTGCCTTAACAGGAAGCAGGAATCAGAAGTGGAGCTGAGGCTCAAGCCAGGCACTCCCGCGTGGGATGTGGGTGTCTCGAGTGGCATCTTAAGTGCCACATCAAACACCCATCCCAGTTTCTTTCTCCTTAGACAAATATTTTTGCTTTTGTTTGTTTGAATCCGCTAGATTGTACTAATGAGTACAAATTTCATAAGTACAACTTTAGGAATATAGTGAGTTTTCCCAACACACCACCCTCCCACCCTCCGTGAATTCTTTTAACCTTCTTAACTACGTGATTCTTAGGATAAGGAGGTCGAATTTGGAGGACCAGCACCCAGAGTTCTAAGCCTGGATGATTACTTCATCACTGAAGTGGAAAAAGAAGAAAAAGATCCGGATTCTGGAAAGAAAGTGAAAAAGAAGGTAAAAGTGTTTGTTCCTGTTTAAAGGGAAACTTCCTAGAGAGAGATGGGGCATCTTTGAAGACAAGGACTTCTTTCATTTTGGAACATGAACTTTAGAACTCAGGCGTGAATGAAGGACTACAGAGTCATCTCTGTCTCTATCTGTGCTAAACTAAAACGATTTAGGATGATTTTTGCTCTGGCTAACGCCAGCTCTCTATTGGGGATTCGTAGGTAATGGAATATGAGTATGAAGCCGAGATGGAGGAGACCTACCGTACCAGCATGTTCAAAACTTTCAAAAAGACTCTGGATGATGGCTTTTTCCCCTTCATCATTCTGGATGCCATCAATGACAGAGTCAGGCATTTTGACCAGTTTTGGAGTGCAGCAAAAACCAAAGGATTTGAGGTAAAGTGTTAAGAGAACTTCAAAGCATTTGTGTTGCTATGTAAGTGTTGTATTTCTTTTCCTAATCATCATTTGTTCTTGCATAGGTGTATTTGGCTGAAATGAGTGCAGATAACCAGACTTGTGGCAAGAGAAATATTCATGGAAGAAAACTTAAAGAAATAAATAAGGTAATTTTCAGAAATAGAGAACAGTGGAGTATCCTAAACTTCACTAGTCTGTATGAGCACTGTTACCTGGAGACTCTTGTTTATCCCGCTTTCCTTCAGAATATCTTCCCTACTTGCTTTAGTAAATGTTTTTTTCCTTTGTATACAAAGGTGTGACCTAGGTTTTCTTGGAACCAACCTGTTAGACTTCATAGTATTAGTTAAATTTTTATCTGGCATGCTCACTTGGTCTTTCTTTGAGTAGTTTCTGGAGGACTGTTGAGATAACTTGAGCTGAATCTCTCACTAGATGGCCGATCATTGGGAAGCTGCGCCTCGTCACATGATGCGTCTAGACATTCGTTCTTTGCTGCAAGATGCTGCTATCGAAGAGGTGAGTGTTCTCTGGCTCGAAGGCAGCGCAAAACAAGCTTTTATTCCAGCTTTTTACTTTGAATCATTTTATACCTGCAGAAAAATTGCATCCATATCATGAAAACACCTGTATACTTTCATTGAAATTCACTTTTTGTTACTATTTTGCCACAATTTCTCTATAAATTGCTATAAATAATATTGTCATTATTGTTGTAGAGCTATCTGATAATTAAGTTGCAGCCCTCAGAACCCTTCACCTCCATAAATACATCAGCACATCAGACCTAAGAGCAAGACATTCTCTTCCAAAACTGGTTAATTATCAAATTCAGGATTTTTTTTTTTTTTTTTTTTTTGACAGGCAGAGTGGACAGTGAGAGAGAGAGACAGAGAGAAAGGTCTTCCTTTTGCCGTTGGTTCACCCTCCAATAGCTGCTGCGCTGCGGCTGGCGCACCGCGCTGATCCGAAGGCAGGAGCCAGGTGCTTCTCCTGGTCTCCCATGGGGTGCAGGGCCCAAGCACTTGGGCCATCCTTCACTGCACTCCCTGGCCACAGCAGAGAGCTGGCCTGGAAGAGGGGCAACCAGGACAGAATCCGGCGCCCTGACCAGGACTAGAACCCGGTGTGCCGACGCCACAGGTGGAGGATTAAGCCTATTGAGCCGTGGCACCCGCCAAATTCAGGAAATTTAACATTGATAATATACTATATTAAGTAATATACATTTCCTGAATAGAATTTCTTGAATTATCTGATATACAATCCATACTCGGATTTTACTAGTTGTCCCCATCATATGCTTTTATTTTCTTTTTTTAAAAGATTTTATTTATTTATTTGAAAGACAGAGTAACAGAGAGGCAGAAAAAGAGAAATCTTCTATCTGCTGGTTCACTCCCCAAATGGCCGCAACAACCAGAGCTGTGCCAATCCGAAGCCAGGAGCCAGGAGCTTCTTCCAGGTCTCCCACACAGATACAGGGTCCCAAGGACTTGGGCCATCTACTACTTTCCCAGGCCATAGCAGAGAGCTGGATCCGAAGTGTGGAGCACCTGGGACTCGAACTGGCACCCATATGGGATGCTGGCACTGCATGCTGGGGCTTTAACCCACTACACCACAGCGCTGGCCCCAAGATGTACTTTATAACAATTTTCAAACCTCCAGGATTTGACTCCCCTTTAATTTAAAAAGAAACTTGGCCAGTTTTTTCATTGTTGTGAAAGATAAAGAGACATTTGAGTATGGGCCAGTTGTCTTATAGAATGTTTTCCAATTTGGATTTGTCCATTTGTCTGCACATGTTTAGGTTTAGGTTAAACATTAGCAGGAATGCTACCTAAGAGGTGATGTGTGCTTAGTGCATTATATGGGAAGCCGTAAGATGCCACTTTGTTTATTGGTTATTTAAACATTGATCACTTGGCTAAGGTAGTGTCTCTTGGCTCTTTTGCTACTTTTTTTTTTTTGTAATAAGAAATCCATAGAAGATACTTCATTACTATTCTGTTCCCTGACAATACATTAATAATTCTTTCCTGAATCAACTATTAATCTGGTGGGAGAAAATCGTTACCATGGAAAAAAGACAGAGTTTCTGTTTTAACTAGTTGTATGCTTCTGTTTTATTTAACTCTTCCTGTGAGCTTTATCTACACTCAATGTTGTCACTGTGTTTGTATTTTCATTTCCCATCTTCCACATCCCTTTTCCTCCTGGCTTCTGTCCTCACTGTTCTCCACAGACTCTTCACTGGTAATTTCTGTGACAGTCAGCAGGCATGGCTTGCTGCTTAATTTTGTAGCCGTGTGTGAAATACTTGACCATGCCCATATTCTCAAGAACATATTTGTTTCTTGACTTTTGAGAATCCACATTTTTCCAGTTTTATTTTTCTGACCATTTCTTTTTAGTCTCCTTGGCTTCTCCTGGTACCCAATTCTTTTTTTTTTTTAATACTAAACTTTTTTTAAAAGATTTATTTGTTTATTTGAAAGGCAGAATTTTGCAGAGAGAGGGAGAGACACAGGTCTCGCATACGAGTGCAGGGAAACAAGGACTTGGGTGATTTTACACTGCTTTCCCAGGCACATTAGCAGGGTGCAGGATTGGAAGTAGAGTAGCTGGAACTTGAACTGATGTCCATACATCACAGGCAGCACAGGCATCACAGGCAGGAGCTTTACCCACTACGCTACCATGCTGTCCCTACCCAGTCCTTAAAACAACTCCTTCAACGCCTCTATTCTAGGCTGTTTGCACTTTGCACTTTGTATATAAATAATCAGAATCTTTTTAGTAGCTTGGATTGCCACATAAGTGTCTAAATTTATAAAGACTGGGGTGAATTACATCAGTCTACACAACCTTTCTGAGTGGAGATGATTTTTATAATTCATTTTATGATTATTTTTCAAATTTTCTCTCAAAAAGAAACATGTATTATTGTGGTATGCCTCAAACACAACCTATCCAAAATGTAATTCATCCAGTAGTTTTTCTTTTCTGATATTCTCTATTTTAGTAATTAGAACCACCAATCACTTGATTGCTACAACCAGTAATCTAGGATTATCTCTGACTTTTTTTAAAAAAGATTTAGTTATTTGATTGGCAGATTTACAGAGAGGGAGAGAGATCTTCCATCCACTGGTTCGCCATCCATGTGGCTGCAGTGGCTAGGGCTGGTCCGATCCTAAGCCAGAAGCTAGGAGCTTCTTCTGGAACTCCCATGTGGGTGCAGGGGCCAAAGCACTTGGGCCGTCTTTCACTGCCTTCCCAGGCCATAGCAGAGAGCTGGATCGGAAGAGGAGCAGCTGGAACTCAAGCCGGTGCCCATATAGAGTGCCAGCCTCCCAGGCAGAGGCTCAACCTACTACTCCAGAGCACCAGCCTCTATCTGAGTCGTTACTCTCCCCTTTACCAGTATTCAGCCCTGTCCCTCTCCATATAACTGTTAACAAGTTGGCCAAGTGTACTTTATAAGTACTTTTCTAATCCTTCTACTCTAATTTGTATTGCTACTATCCTGGGCCAAAGATACTTCCATCCTACTTTTCACTATGCTCTTTTTTACATTTTGAACTTTGAATAATTTTCATGTTTTACCTGGTTGGAAAAATACATGTTAAAAATTTTAAAAAGAAATCCTTGTAATCCATAGGAATTTTTTTTTAAGTCTGGCCCATTCTTTTTTTTTTTTTTTTTTAAAGATTTATTGGGACCAGTGCTGTGGCAGAGCAGGTTAACACCCTGGTCTGAAGTGCCGGCATCCCATATGGTCGCCAGTTCTAGTCCCAGCTGCTCCTCTTCTGATCCAGTTCTCTGCTGTGGCCTGGGAAAGCAGTAGAAGATGGCCCAAGTCCTTGGGATCCTGCACCCACGTGGGAGACCCGGAAGAAGCTCCTGGCTCCTGTCTTCAGATTGGCGCAGCGTCAGCCATTGTGGCCATCTGGGGAGTGAACCATCGGATGGAAGACCTCTGTCTCTCTCTGCCTCTCCGCTCTCTGTGTAACTCTGACTTTCAAATAAATAAATATTTTTTTAAAAGATTTATTTATTTACTTGAAAGGCAGAGTTACAAAGAGGCAGAGGCAGAATGAGAAAGGTCTTCAATCCACTGGTTCACTCTCCAAAAGGCCACGACAGCCAGAGCTGGGCCTTTCTGAAACCAGGAGCTTCTTCTGGGTCTCCCACGCAGGTGCAAGGGCCCAAGGACTTCGGCCAACTTCCTCTGCTTTACCAGACCATAGCAGAGAGCTGGATCAGAAGTGGAGCAGCTGGGACTAGAACCAGCACCCACATGGGATGCCGGCACTGCAGATGGTGGCGTCACCCGCTCCACCACACGCCGGCCCCTCCATAGGCATTCAAAACAAGTGGTCGTCTACTCAGAGCATTACACTTGACTTTATAGAGGGAGTTATGAAGATGCACATCCCAGGAAAATGAAGTTCAAGAGTATCATTCTGTTTTTTATCAGTTCTGTGTCAAAATTTGTGGTGTTAAAAATGACTTGGTGAATCTGCTTTCTTCCTCTGGATGGCTGTGCTTATTCTCAGTTTCAGTGAGGGCCTCAACATTTTCATAAATGTTGACATCTTTTTTCTTTTCATGATTATTGTCATGGTGTAGGTGGAGATGGAAGATTTTGATGCAAATATTGAAGAGCAGAAGGAAGAAAAGAAAGATGCAGAAGAAGAGGAAAGCGAACTGGTAGGAGACAGACCAACCACTTTGAACAGTGTCTCTTTATGAAAATCATTAAGAAAGGGTTAAATTCTGGTCTATGATCAGATACTATTGTTGGTATATACTTTAATGGTAAAAGTTTCCCATAATCATCTTCAAGGAGACTTTTGGATAGTTTTTACTTTTTCCTCAGACCAAAAAAACCCTCTACTGTGTTGCTGAAAGAAAATTTTAACAGGGTGCTAAAAAACTCACCCGTATAAACTCATCTATTTGTGGGTGGTTTTAGGGGAGTATACTTTTTAAGAAAATCAATTACAGATATTAAGGGCTTTCTTACATTCCAGCAGATATGTGGTGTAACCTGTCTAACTTACACATAATTGTATCTTCTTTGCTACAAGATCTCAAAATTGAGTTTCTGGCAACTGAGCAGAAGAATTTATCGAATGAGGAGGCAGAGGGTTGCCACTGGCTGCTGGATTTATTCTTTTTCATTTTATCATGTTAAGTGATGGGAAAAATATTTGTGTAGGCAATGGATTTTGCTTAGACTTATTAAAAGCTTATGTAGTGTGAATTCAAAGTTTCTGTGTACCTACTGTAAATACTTTTGATCACATCTCTGTAGAGCTGTTTGCCTTACCCTGTCATTCAAAAATATGCGGCCTGAAGTTATGTTGACTTTTCAGTGTTTGCTAATGAGCTACAGAGAATAGTAATGCCTTGGAATAGTGTTGCTTTTTAATTCCAGGATACTACTTGGTTTATTTAATACTCAGCCCTTGCTAAAGTTCTTCTCATATTCTTCTGAAAATGTACAAAGCAAGAACACTGATTCTTACCCTCTAGAGTATATAAGTCTCCAAGAAGTGGTCCCATCAAATGCATGCGTGATAAAGGACTCTTGATAGAAACTGTGATTATATAGAGATGGTGTCAATTTCTACATTCCTAGGTTTTAAACATGGATTAAAAAATAAGATTTAAAGTTAATGGCCTTTGAGTCTCAATATTTTTTTTATTTTATTTTTTAAACAGTATTTTTCTTAAGTTGTATTTTGACATAATCTAAAATACAGGCAGGAAATGCATTTAAAGGTCCACACTGTTCTGGACTATGGCTGCTGACTTCTGTAACTACTTGCAGCGTGTGTACTAGACCATGATCATGAGAGAAGTCTGTAGTGCTATAGCTTCCTAGCTTTTCAAAATATGTATGATCCATAACAGGTGACTTGCTTAGATGTAGGTCAAACTACTTCAGTTGCATGTACTACTATTTTTTAAAGTTAAACACACTGTAATGCTATATTTTTACATCAAAAACATGGCAAAGAAGCTTTCACTTTCTACCCTGCTGGACTATCTTTTTTTCACGTCGCCTACCATTGAAAGCAGTGGGAGGATGGGACAGGTTTAAGGAAGAACAGGATGGTTCCAGCAGGGAGACATTAATATACTCTTTGCTTAACTTTCTGTTATAAAACTTTCCTTAACCCATTCAAGGATGCAGTATCCAAATCTTCTACTATTGGGGTCTAGTCCAAGAGTAAAAGATCATTGGAGAATATTAACCAAAGGGTTGAGAGAAAGTCTTTAGTCACTCAGACCATTTTAATGGATTTCTCAGTAAACTTTGCATTTTCTGTTCTGGACTCCTTAATACAGCTGGGTGAAATCTATACTTCTTGGTTAAGAGAATCCTTTTTGGGGGAATCATTGGCGTGATAGTTTGTCTTCTTTAGTGCCTCAGTGAACCTAGTATATATAAAAATATTATTCCAGTAATGCTGAAGGTTTTCAGACAATTTTTGATACATTACTTGTACAGGTTTCTTTTGTACTTTTAGCACCCTCACTTCAGCCTAGCTTTGTCTTGGTTTGTTCTAAAGATGTGTTTGGAAACAATATTTATAACCTGAAATACAACCTAGTAAATTGAAATTGAATTATTAAATCTGGCTTAAACACTAGAGATGTTTATAACACATAGGTTTCCTGAAGTAGTGATGATACTCTCATAAACTCTTACCTAAATGCTGTTGTCGTGAAATCTTCAACATGCCTTCTGACTTCCCCTGTGTCAGTCTGTGCTGTGAACTTGAACATCCCCAACAGTAGAGAGATACAGTGACTCATCAGAGAAGATGCTGGCACCTTTGATGAATCTCTCCTGTTTAGGAGCTCCATTAAGTTTCTGTATGTTAGGGTCTAATAGGAAAACAGACTCCAAGTGAAGAAAAGAGGGCATCGTGACAAACCACACGAGACTGAATGGAAAGGAGGAATACCTAGTTCAGTAGGAACAGTAGAAGATTTGAAAATCTTTGGGAGTTTGAAATAAACCATCTAGTACTTTATGAAATATAAGATGTAAGTTACCTTTGGAGATTTCTGGTTTTTTGTATGATAGGAGAACGCAGTTTTACAAGACATCAGAAATAATCTAGTTTCCAAATGATGAAAGAAACTGATTCAATAAAATAGTCTGTAAGACCTAACTGGTAAATGGATTGAATCATTTTAAAATGAGGTTGAACTTCATAATTGGGTATTTGGGCTCAGTGATACCAATCCTTCTCCTTTCTTTTGAGTACTATATGATTACACTGAAATATAAAGTAACTATCTTAAAGAATGCTTTTTGGACCTCATGACTACTATCACTTGAGAATAGCAGTTGTATTTAGAAAGTAACCTAGCTAGTATTAAAAATTTTCTGACAATCATAGCACAGTAGCTACCTGTACATCTTATAATATTTGCTATACAGATGTTGTTCAACTGCCGTTTTGATTCCTGAACTGTAGCTGCCTCAAAGCGCCTTCGTCACACTATTCTGAATTGCCTACTCTGAAATCTAGGCAGTGAAGTGTGGTGAATTTGGCAGTTTAGTTTCTTCAAAGATAACGAGACTGTTTTCCCTAAGGATATTTTTATAACTAGTGAGTGGAAACTGAATCCATTCCCAGTTTTAATGCTTTTCCAGTTCAAAAGTTGTATGCATGTATGTGTCTCTTTCTAACCCTTCGAGCTTCTCTCTGTGTACGATTTAGGGTTACATTCCGAAAAGCAAATGGGAGATGGACACATCTGAGGCAAAGCTAGGTGGGTATTTCCTTTTTCCTGTTTTTATATGTGATACCTCATGGTAATGGTCATAGATCTTTCTGCTGTAAGAAGAACAAGTTTCCCAAAACTTGTGCTTAAACCAAGATTTTTGACCTACCTTACCTCTTCTAGTCTGTTTCACTAGCTTTCGGTTTAACTAGTTATATCTTGTAACGGAGTGAAATAAAAGAGTATTTTGAAATAATAATCCTCAATGCCGTTTAAAGTTTTTAGACTAAATGGAAATATTTGATAAATTTAGTTACAAAATGCTGTCTCTTCTAACGTCCGTTCTTTTATATTGATCAGAAATGTTTGTGCTGATGAGATTTCTTTTTTTTTTTTTAACAAATATTTGCAGTCCAAAGTTGGACTTGACTATGAATACTTTGGGTAATGATAATATATATTAAAATTTTGAAATTAGTTGAAAGACAGTTATTTGCCTCATAATAACTTAAAGTTGCTGTATGGAGGGAAGTAGATGTATAATTCAGATTTTTTGAGGAACTTGCTTTGTAAAATTACCTTCTAATTTTCCTTCAAGTTGTCTTGAAGTGCCAGATCACAAGGTAAAGCGGTTAAAGTGATTGTCTAAAGCAGACTTTAGTGTGTGGTTATCTTCAGAGCAGAAAATCATATGGATCCAGAGGATTCCTCCAGTAGTTCAGAATGAAATTGTAAAGCATTTCTTCAGTTTGTTTGTTTGTTTTTTCTTCACTTAAAGAGAATGATTTCACCTGCTATGATGTGTTAATAAAGATGTGAGAAAATATGCTCAAGGCTTGTTGAGAAGACTGACCTTCTGATAGATGAAATGTTGGCTGTCAATCCCTGGCATCACACTGTCACTGCCAACAGGGAACAACCCTCCACATATCTTAGATTCACACAAGTCTGAGCAACTTAGCCGTGTGTCTGACATCAGAGGTGCACTTTGTACACAGTTGCATACATTATATCTTTAATTTTCCCAAATGTTTATGCTAACAGTTGATGTGGATGTTAAAAGATAGTTCCACAAACTATAATATTTGCAGAGTATTTGGATAGATACTTTGTTGTAGAGTTTAAAAGGTATTTTTAGAATTTCATTGCTTGTGAAAATTACAAGTGGTTACCGACATTGTTCTGCTAGTCTTTCCTCTTCGAAATTGCTTAATAACCAACTGTCTTCTGTATAGTTTCAAAGCATTTCTGTGTTTAAATGCAATTAAATAGGTAGGGAAACCATAATCTCGTATTAATTGTTAAAATAATAATGCATTAGTTCTGCTTATTTTGACATTAAAATTAAACTATTTGAAGCTCTGTACTTTTAGAATAACTTTGAAGACTCTTAAGACCTTTGTGTTATCTAAATAGTGGTTATTTGGAGGGCAGGAAGATATTACAAAATATAGACAAGGGCTTTATGGAAGTAACAAATACTTTAGCAAAGTAAATACTCTTCAGAGATGTTTACATTATAAGGTCTTAGAAGGATGGTTTTTAAACTTAAGCCAGTCCATTTTCTACTTTCCTTTCTAGTTTCTAAGGAAGAAGGAAAATGGAATTATATTCAAAACTATATTAATACTGGTATTAATTGCTGAGCAAAATTCTGGCTCAACTAGCATTTGCATCTCAAAAATACATTTTATTTAAATTCAGTTTTAAAAATAGAATGTTGGACAATGAATACCAGAAATGAATTTATTAAGTAATCTTTTTCCATTGAAAGCGCTAAAGATCTGGTAATCTAGAAAGTGGATTCCGACATGTTTGCAGTGGAGTTTGTTTGTTTTCAATGAGTAACAGTGATGTTTGTGTAAGAACCTGCACCTTGCCTCATCGTGTATTATCTTGAGAATAATCCAGCCATGGAGGAAGGCAAATTGAGTGTGTGCGTTCCTGAAAGTACTTACCTCTTTGACTTTGGCCCATTGATCCATTTGAGAAGATTGTTCTCAAAAACTTGAGAATCTTGCGTCTGAGAATTTGTCTTTGTACGTTGCCATCCTTATAACAAATTTAATATATTTGATTGTCACGTACAAATTTATTCTTCTGAGTACTTTACCAACATTCTTAAATTGCTCTTGGTAACATGATAATGTTTGGGTGGAAAATACTGAGCTTTCACAGTGTCATACATTGAGTCAGAAGAAGAGTAGAATCTGAAACCGAGGGATTTTTATTCACGACTGAGTCTGCCAGTGAGAAGATGCTTACCTGTAGTCTTTGAAGCAGCTGGCTGGATCTCATCGCAGATTCTTGCTCAGTGCTCTGATTTAAGTGCAGCATGCTGTTTGGCCTGGGTTGGAATGCTAATTTAGAAGCAGCATGATTTTAGGACAATTTAGAACAGGTCTGAGCGACTGCTGGCGTGGGTGTCATGGAGCTGTTGAAGGCACCTTCAATCACACCTGACTGGTTCCCTCTTGGCTGGTGCAGTCACCCTAATGCAACAGCGGGTGTTAGCTTTCTGGGATTCAGCAGTGACGCTACTGGAATTCCATAGGAAGTACTTTTGGTTTTCCCATCTTGGCATCGTTTGTCTCTACCTAGGAGTCGTGTGTTTGCCTTCTGCATTTCAGACATTTCTGCATTTCCCTTCACAGTTAGAATGTAATTACTATTTGTATAGGCACATCACCTTTGTATGTTCACCTTGAATCAGTTTTCAGAAATATCATTTACATTTAGAAAACACATAGATTTGCCTAAAATTTTTTTTCTGTTATGTGTTATAATAATACATATACTGTTTTGAAAATGTAAAAATCTCTTGTCAAGTTGGACTTAAAATTTCATCTCTAAAACTTCATCTTTTGAAACTCAGGCCCTCTGGAAATCATGAGTGTGAGTGTTGGGCACCAGCCTTCTTCCTGTGACTAATACCCAGGTTTTTTTCCCTCACCTGTCCCACCCATCTGTTGTTTGGGTGGAAGAGGTGTGGGCCTTTCTTTAGCCCCAAGAAGGAAACGTTAGCATGTTTGCATGATAAAAGTTGAAATTAACCCTTTCAAGCAAGGATGCTCACACCAGAAATGCCTGCTCTTCTGAGCTTCCCCGTGACAGATGTGGAATTCCTGATCTGTAACTCCCGTGGTACACGCGGTGTGCTGGGGGATGTTCTGCAGTTCTCACACTGCCCTTCTGCACTGCTACCGGCCATGCTGTGTTCTTGAAACAGATGTGAAAGTTTTCCTGTCAAGTATGTTGATGGCAAAGCTGATTGTGTTGAGGTTGGAAATCCTTTGTGGTCTATTTAATAAGTGTGTTGGAGCTTCCTGCCCTTTTGGTAATGCTGTACGCTTTGAACCGAAAACAGTTTTCTTGTTTGTGGGACTTGGTTGGTTTTCTAATACCATATTGGTGTCCCTGTGTAGTCAAGGTATTCCTGCTTTAAGCTCATGTATAACATGGCCCGTCGTTTACATGTAGATACAGCCATTTAGTACAGCAGTTGGTTTACAGAGGAAACTTGGAAGACTGGGTCTGTTGAACCCGTCCATATTAAAATATTGCCAATTGAGATGATACAGGTTTCTTGAGTTTTGTAAGTGTTGTCATTTGTTTTGCTGATTTTTCAGTGAGGATTGCTTTTATGGGGGAAGGGCTTAGGAACTAAAAGCTGCGTCAATTATGGAAAACCTTGTTGGTTTTTAAAGCTTGTACGGTTAGTTGTGTGTGAGACATTTATATTTGAAACATAAACTCACTCTCCTACAGCTATTGCACTTTTCTAATCAAGTATTCTCCAACTTGGTGCCTATGTACACCTGTGTGCACTCTCACCCTTCATGGAGTTTGATGAAGCATGGTAATTATGTTTCTGAAGTTTTTAGGCTTTTCTTTTACTGGCCTGCTTAACAACACTGTGCTTATGTAAATTCAGGTGATTCAAAAGTTTTAGTGCTTCAATGTAGCTAAAAAATGTATAAAACTCGTAATATTCTACATGTAGTATTCAGAATCAATATTAATAATAAAAAATATACAGCACATTCTCATTGTGTATTCTTCTTTAAGACATATAATTTCTGAATTCATAGTCCCTGTTTATTTAACCGATTACAGCTTTGAGACCTTGGAAAGCCCTCCGAGATTCGGGGTTCAGAGAGAAATATCAGATCTTGTCACTTTGCTAACCAGCTCTTAGCCTCAGAATGGTCAATAGCACTTCATAGAGAAAGTGGTTATCTCATACAGTCAGTGTATTCATAAATATTAACCCATGGTGAATACTCTCACAGCAGCCAAAATCCTGAGAAACTGTTCATCTAGAACCTTCTTAAATGTTAGCTTGGCTCACTGAGTTCCTGCCTCACTTTCATACGGCATAATATTGCTCCTGATTGAAGATCAAATGGGTGGTATTAATACTGTGTTAAGGAAAAACAGCAAAATGGAAAAAATTGGGAAAACCTGCCTTTCATTTTCCTTCAGAACATGAGAGCTGAATTGTGATTTTGAGGGGTGTGAGGACAAGGAGGCCAGGAGACAAGTGCCTTCGCTTGCTTTGTGCTTTGCCCATATTTGTTACTTAACCCAACATCATGATGTCATGGCTGCCAATACAGACAGTAGACAGAGCTTGAGATTATTTCAACCAAGAAGATGGTTTGGATCTGCAAGTGATGCTGTACTCAGACATGTGGCTGTGCCCTCTGAAAGTCCTCCAGCCTTCTCTCCTCTTGTTATTGTCTTGTGTGCTAACTCACACTCTTCCTTAATGCTGTGGCTCTGTGTTTGTCCCCCAGACAAGTTGGATGGCTTGAGGACTGGTACTAAAAGGAAACGTGACTGGGAGGCGATTGCCAGCAGAATGGAGGATTATCTTCAGCTCCCTGACGACTATGATACTCGTGCTTCTGAGCCTGGGAAGAAGAGGGTAAGAGATCTTGTCAGTAACTGCCAACACATGAAAAGCCCATTTAAGCTTCTGGTTCTGAGAAATTGCAGGCAGAAAATCAAATGAATGCTCTTTTTTTTTTTTAAAGAGCAGTTTAGTTTATACTGTATCCTGTTACATATCCACAAAAGTGTCAGACCTTACAAATTGTTAGATCAAATGTACAACTAACTTAAAATATGGAGACCAGAACCTCACATGAATAGCATATTGTCAACCCTAAGAAGGTTGAGAGTGGCCATTTGTGCCATTTTGTCACGGGGCAGAGGAACCGGGTGCAGGATACAGTGTTGAAGAGAATCTGTGGGACTTCGTAATGGATTCAGTGTGGAGGGTCCAAGGATAGATGGGATCGAGGGTGACTCCTTGAGGTTCTGGCCATGAGCACTCCAGGTTTATGCTGTACTGTTTACTTAGAAAACTGGAGAAGTCATAAGTTTTAGGGAGAGAATTGGGAGTTAAGGGAGGGACCTTAGAGATCTCAGTGCAGATGGCAGACTTGTAGTATGAAAGTCATGAATTTCCTGAGACTGAAATCACAAATTTGAGGAAATGGTATTTAAGCCATTAGACTGAGTGATTTTGCCCAGAGATAAGTGTGAATAGAAAAGATAATAGGACACAGGACCCAGCCTTGCAGCCAGGGGTGTTTCAGGAAGAGAAAGCGGTCAGTTTTTAGTGATGCAGAGAAGACAGGGACGTGGGGGACACTGAAATGCTGTTAGGTTTCGCAGCGTGGAGGTCGCCAGCAGTTGTGGTATTTTCAGAGAGCTGAGGGACAGAAGCTGGTTTGCAGGAGACTGGAGAGTGGAAAGATGAAGACAGACCGTAAATGCAGACAGCTTCTTGGAGACGTTCTCTCTGGAAGGGAGCAGAGAAATGGGGCCAGGACTTGGGATGGGTCTTCACACAGATACTGAGTTCAGTATAAGTGATTGTTGTAGGTATGTTCTTTAAAACGAAGTGAAGCAAAGGCACATACAAGCTTTGTCCGTCTAATCCACCTTGATCTCCCTATGTAAGTTCATAGAGATCTTCCATTCTCTAAAAAGGATGTGCACTGTGCCATTGTCTAGCTGTACGATCAGTTATTTACCCAGTGCCTTTCTGATGTTTCCATTTCGTTGCCGGTACAAATACTGAGTCGTGGTGTGTATGTCTTGGCAGCAAATGTACCTTGAAGTGAATTTTTAGCATTAAAGTTGCAGGCTCATAGAATGTGGTCTATCATTCTGACAGATACTAAAAGATCATTTTCCAAAAAGGTTACTTCTATTTGTGTATCCTGTATACCTATTTGTAAATGCTTGTTTGTCCACACTTACACCAGCAGTGCTATTGTCAAACTTTTTAACTGTTGACAATCTGATAGATTCAAAATACCTCATTTTGCATTTTTTGTGAGGTTGTATATCTTTATCCACCATTTCTTTGTATTTTATTAATTTCCTCAGTGTTTAGTAGTTAGAGAGTATTTTATTCTAAAAGAATTAAAATGACGAACAACACTCCACCATATACTATTTGAAAGAATCCAGGTTTCAAAGCTTTCCAACACAGACAGTCCAGAGGCCCACCTTTTTATATACAGTTCAAGGGGATCGGATAAAGAGATGCCATTGATGGCCTTCCATTTGTGCCCCGCCCCATCCAAGGACTACTTGAGTGATGACTATTATTGCAGTTTGTTTTTTACATTTTTATATGAAAGGCAAAGAGAGAGAGATCTTCCGTCCACTGGTTCACTCCCCAAATGCCCAACAGCCAGGGCTGGGCATGGCCAAATCTGGGAACCTGGAACACCATCTGAGTCTCCCACATTGGTGGCAGGGACCCAAGTACTTGAACCACCATCTGTTGCCTCCCAGGATATGTTAGCAACAAGCTGGACCAGAAGCAGAGGAACCAGACCTCTGGTGCAGGCAGATGAGCCAGGTACTCTGATGCAGGGTGCAGATGCCCCAAGTAACAACCTAATGTCTGTGCCAGATGCCAGTCAGTGTCTTCGCAGTTTTAAGTTTGGGACCCAGAGAAGCTCTCCTTGGGAGTAATTGTAGTTCTGGTAACAGTGAATAATCTGAAATGAGAACTATTCTGCTCTAAGTAGTTTTATGTAACTGTCATTCTCTTCAGTGAGCAGTTTGTGATCCCATGCAGTTTCCTTTAAGTTAGGTGGCCAAGGGGAACTGAGTTGTCATACAATATAATCCTTTAAAATGGCTCCTCGGGGCCTGCGCTGTGGCGTAGCGGGTGAAGCTGCCGCCTGTGGTGCCGGCATCCCATATAGGCGCCAGTTCAAGTCCTGGCTGCTCCACTTCTGATCTAGCTCTCTGCTATGGCCTGGGAAAGTAGTAGATGGCCCAAGTCCTTGTACCCATGTGGGAGATCTGGAAGAAACTCCTGGCTCCTGGCTTCGGATTAGCACCACTCTGGCCATTGCCGCCAATTGGAGAGTGAACCAGTGGATGGAAGACCTCTCTCTCTCTGCCTTTCCTTCTCTCTCTTTGTAACTCTGACTTTCAAGTAAATAAATAAATCTTAAAAAAAAAAAAAATATGGCTCCTCTTTAGCCTCCTCTCCTGCCTCATACCTTAATTTCAAATCGCTTTTAACTCTCAAACGACTTAACAAAAACTGACATCAGAACTCTGTGAGACCTCCAGGTAGCTAATACTGCACAATACATCTTTCCTGTGGTCTCTTGGTTTCTGTAATCTGGCTTTTTACAAATACCAGGTGAGTTCCTGGGATTAACTTCCACTGTAACAAATAGCTGTTTACCTGTGAATTTTACCATACTAGAATTTAACTAAATGGCTAGACTTTAAAATATAATTAATTTATCTTTAAAAAATTTCATTTACGTAGTTGACTGTAAAATAATGGCTCAGGGCTGGCACTGTGGCGTAGTAGGTAAAGCCACCGCCTGCAGTGCCAGCATCCCATATGGGTGCCGAGTTTGAGTCCTGGCTGCTCCACATCTGATCTAGCTCTCTGCAGTGGCCTGGAAAAGCAGTAGAAGATGGCCCAGGTCCTTGGGTCCCTGCACCCATGTGCAAGACTAGGAAGAAGCTCCTGGCTCCTGGCTCCGGATCAGCCCAGCTCCTGCTGTGGGCGGCCATTAGGGAGTGAACCAGCAGATGGAAGACCTCTCTCTCTCTCTTTCTTTCTCTGTAGCTCTCTGCCTTTCAAATACACAAATCTTTAAAAAAAAAATAATAATAGCTCATGTGGACTTCAGTTTGTATTTCTTTAACAACTATGAAAGAGAAATGTAAACATTTCCTTGTTTGCTAAATTTGTATATTTTAGAAATATTTTTTAGTAACAGTGCAGTAAATATATGTACTTCAAACCTTTGCATGTTAGTCAAGATTTTTTCTTTACTGTAACAACTTTTTTTAATAGGTGACAAAAAATAAAATCAAATGTTCTTTAAATCTCAGAAGTAGCTTTTGGAAAATTAGGAATGATGTTGGCTGGCATTCAAGAAGCTATTTCTAGCTGAAATCATTATTCTGCTTCTTATATGTTTAGTGTTTTTGTAATCATTCATTCTTCTACAAGTTGATTGTGTGCATGGGGTCTGTGGATTAATCCTGTTACGGAACTGAAAGGATTCAACATGTAAATTAGTTTAAATATAGAATTAGTGGCTGGTGCCGCGGCTCAATAGGCTAATCCTCCACCTAGCAGCGCCGGCACCCTGGGTTCTAGTCCCAGTCGGGCGCCGGATTCTTTCCGGTTGCCCCTCTTCCAGGCCAGCTCTCTGCTATGGCCCGGGAAGGCAGTGGAGGATGGCCCAAATGCTTGGGCCCTGCACCTGCATGGGAGACCAAGGGAAGCACCTGGCTCCTGCCTTTGGATCAACGCGGTGCGCCGGCCGCAGCGCGCCGGCCGTGGCGGCCATTGGAGGGTGAACCAATGGCAAAAAGGAAGACCTTTCTCTCTGTCTCTCTCTCTCACTGTCCACTCTGCCTGTCAAAAAAAAAATATATATATATATGCAGGGTCCTCAAAAAGTTTATGGAAAATATGCATTATCTAGTAATTTCAATTTTCCGCATTGAAGCCTCGTATATTAGAGATATGAACAAATAACAGTTTCTAAATTATTAATTGACGTATGGGTTTTTGGGATTGGTACGTTGAATTATACACAACAACACATATATATGTTGCTTATTTTTTTTTTTTTTTTTTTTTTTTTTTTTTTTTTTGACAGGCAGAGTGGACAGTGAGAGAGAGAGACAGAGAGAAAGGTCTTCCTTTGCCGTTGGTTCACCCTCCAATGGCCGCCGCGGCCAGCGCGCTGCGGCCGGCGCACCGCGCTGATCCGATGGCAGGAGCCAGGAGCCAGGTGCTTTTCCTGGTCTCCCATGGGGTGCAGGGCCCAAGCACCTGGGCCATCCTCCACTGCACTCCCTGGCCACAGCAGAGGGCTGGCCTGGAAGAGGGGCAACCGGGACAGAATCCGGCGCCCCGACCGGGACTAGAACCCGGTGTGCCGGCGCCGCTAGGCGGAGGATTAGCCTAGTGAGCCGCGGCGCCGGCCTGTTGCTTATTTTTTAAAAATTCATACTTTTGCTTCTAATTCCATATTTTTTATCTGAGTCTTTTTTTTTTTTTTTTCCCAAGCCCTATTTATTTATTTGAAAGGTAGAGTGAGCAAGAGAGATCTTCATCCACTGCTTCATTCTCCAAATGCCCACAACAGCTGGAGTTGGGTCAGGCTAAAGCCAGAAGCCAGGAATTCCATCTTGATCTCCCATGTGGATGGCACAAACCCAAATCCTTGGGCAGTTCTCTGCTGCCTGCCAAGTACATTGGTTGGAAGCTGGATTGGAAGTGGAGAATCCAGGATTCAAACTGGCACTCCAATATGTGATTCAGGCATTCGTAATGCCCATCTCTTATCTGAGTGTTTTATGCTTTTTGGGTTTTGTTTTCCTTCCTCCCTCCCTTCCTCCTTTCCTTTCTTTCTTTTGACAGGCAGAGTTGTAGAGAGGGAGAGACAGAGAAAGAAAGAGAGAGATCTTCCATTTCATTCCCCAAATGACAGCAGCTGCCTAGACTGGGCCAGACTGAAGCCAGGAGCTTTTTCCGGGTCTTGCACATGGCTACCCAAGCACTTGGACTGTCTTCTGCTGCTTTCCCAGGCACATGAATAGGGAGCTGGATCAGGGGTGAAGCAGCTGGGACTCAAACCAGTGCCCGTGTGGGATGCTGGCGTTGCAGGTGGTGGCTTAACCTGCTACACCACAATTCCGGCCCATTATCTGAGTTTTAAAGACTCAGGAACTAACTACAGAATTAAGAATAGCAGGGTGAGATGGATCAGTGTTTTAAACTCTATGCTGAGGCTACCCCAGGCATGCGTGGAGGGATGGATGGATGGATTTATTTATTTATTTTAGAGATTTATTTTATGTATTTGAAAGACAGAGTTACAGAGAGAGGTAGAGACAGAGAGGTCTTCCATCTGCTGGTTCACTCCCCAGTTGGCTGCAACAGCCAGAGCCTGTGCCGATCCGAAGCCAGGAGCTTCCTCCAGGTCTCCCGTGGGGGTGTAGGGGCCCAAGCACTTGGGCCATCTTGTACTGCTTTCCCAGGCCATAGCAGAGAGCTGGATCAGATCTTAAACTGGCGCCCATGTGGGATGCTGGCACTTCAGGCCAGGGCTTTAACCCACTGCACCACAGCGCCAGCCCCCAGGCATGGATTTAAATTGACCTTTGTACAGCAGCCACAGTCTGTCCAGCCATCCTTTGTGCCCCTTCAGACATAGCCATATTTCTATAAAATGTGTATGTTTGAAGCTAAATGGAACTGAGTGTATGTATGACTTTATTGAATTAATCAAAACAGGACATCAGCATTGATGGGTAGAAGGCCCAAAGATCCATATATAAAGGTCAAATCTTTATATGCCAAAGCCTACACTATTTATTAGGCTTCTTAGTGAGGCCTGTGAAGGAATTTAAGCCATAGATTTCCTACCCTCTAGAAGGCGACATGAAGCAGAGTCAGGTGTTGCCAATTTTCCCCTATTGCTGTTACTAGATCGTCCCTTTGACCAGTTTGTAGCTGTTAGAAGTCTGGTCATTTCATTACCAGTCAGAACAAAAATATATTTCCTAGTCCAGTGTAAAGAGGATGAAGTTCCCTCTCCGTGCTGCAGACAGTAAATCACAAGCCGTTCTTTAATGATCCTGGCAGAATGTGTCACCGTGTACTACAAGCAGCAGGTTCATAGTCTGTCTTTAAATATTTGAACTTAAACAGAATATATCTGCATATGTTTTTAGAAACTTATGACGTAAGAATTTATATTTGTGGCTGGTGCCGTGGCTCAATAGGCTAATCCTCCGCCTTGCGGCGCTGGCACACTGGGTTCTAGTCCCGGTCAGGGCGCCGGATTCTGTCCCGGTTGCCCCTCTTCCAGGCCAGCTCTCTGCTGTGGCCAGGGAGTGCAGTGGAGGATGGCCCAAATGCTTGGGCCCTGCACCCCATGGGAGACCAGGAGAAGCACCTGACTCCTGCCTTCGGATCAGCGTGGTGCGCCGGCCGCAGCGGCCATTGGAGGGTGAACCAACGGTAAAGGAAGACCTTTCTCTCTGTCTCTCTCTCGCTGTCCACTCTGTCTGTCAAAAATTAAAAAAAAAAAAAAAAAGAATTTATATTTGTGAAAACCCAGAGTACCAATAGAAAATACCTTTGTTCATAGATTTGTAGTTGTAATCTTGCCATGAATAATGATATCAGTTGAGTCCATTGATCTCTTTGTCTTGTGAACAAAAGTAATAAATCCAGCTCTCTCTTTTCTCTAAGATTGAATTTCAAGAAGTATTTATGTGTGGGGAGATAAATGAAACTCAGTTCTCTCAGTCCTTGATCCAGGGTGTTTGTAGTCTGAATATATAGTATATAGGGAAGAGAACTCCATTAATGGTTAATTGCAACACAATGTGAAAGTTCAAAAGTAGACATATTGAAATCCAGAAGTGAATCCAGGAGAGCAATGAATAACTCATTGATGAGTTATTCAAATGTCAAAGGAAAAGAGGGATAAAGCATGGGTGGATGACTAGGCTCACACGAGGTAGACAGAGTTCAGGAAGAGAGGTTATACATACAAAGTGAGGTAGCATGAAGTAGCTCCGGGTGCTGGAAGTCAGTCTGTATTTCTTGTGTGAAATGCTTTAAGCACTGGCTGGAGATGCTGCACATCAGACAGGGACTGTATTAAGAAGGCCTGAGTGCTTGGACTTCATCTTGTAGGGAGGGGAAATATTTGAAGCAATTGAGAGTCACAACCATGTATATTTTAGGAAGATCACACCAGTGGAGTGGGTTCAAGAGGGTGAACAGAGACAGGGAGACTAGGTTAGATGTTAGTGCTTTATTTCAGGCCAAAGAATGAAGTCATCGAGTTAAAAAGGAGTGGCCGAGGAGATGGAGAGGACACGACTGAGCCGAGAGCAGACAAGCTCAGGAGTTGGAGCAGTTAGGACTTGGTGATTGACCATCGTTCGTGCTCTGCAACTTAAGATAAATGGCTTTCTCTACTTCTTACTTGTGGTTTCAGATGAATAATCTTGCCTCTTCAACTATCCAGAGAGAAGGGGGCCTTTTGCATATTGATTTTTCTTGAAACCCAGCCTAATGCTGTGTTCTTTTTAGGTGAGATGGGCAGACCTGGAAGAAAAGAAGGACGCAGATAGGAAAAGGGCCATAGGTTTTGTGGTCGGACAGACTGATTGGGAGAAGATCACAGATGAAAGTGGTCACCTGGCTGAAAAAGCCCTCAATCGAACCAAATATATATGAGACTTAGTTTTGAATGGAGTCATTGTTTCTCTGAGGTAAGAGTATGCAGTCTTACAGTCGGCCTACTGTGTGCTTGCATCAAGGGGTTTGAGATAAAGAAGACAGCATGCTTTGCTAGAAATGCCCTCTTCCTGTGTTTCTAGTTCTGAAAGAGTAAGTATTTGCTAGTTGCTGACATTTGCAACACAAAAGTGTTAGAACAGGAAGCAGTATTCTGCAGCCTGGCTCACTTAGGAAACGGAAGTCTGGAGAAAGGCGCGGAGATCCTAGACTGGGGAAGGAGTGGGGTGATGTGCTGGTGTGGTCTGCCGCGCCTGGCGCCCGTTCCCAGGGCCTGACGGTCTTGTCTTTTCTCTCCAGGTGGTTCGCTTGGAGGTGGCCCGAAGCCAAGGCCTCGTGGAGCTTCTCTGTGTGTCACCTTGCTTCCACGTTTCAGTTTTTGTTTTGTTTCTACTGCTTTAGTTTTTTAAAGTTCTTCAGTGTCCCCAAGAGGTATTAGGATCTTGCTGTACCCAAGCAAGACATTAACTTTTCTTTTTAACTCTTCTGGGGTGGGAGGGAGTGATAGCTGAAGTGCTGAAGCCTGGTGGGGGCCACTGGAGGACTCCGAGACTGTTTCCTCCACTGTACGACGTCACAGACTATCTCTGCCATCACTGCTTTGTGGCTGGTTTTGTTTTTTACTGTATGTAACTGGTAGCTGATTGTACTAGGATTAAAAACAATAAACTTTCACGATGAAGCCGATGAGATTCATGGGCTATACAGCACAGGCCCGTTTCTCTTTTCTTAATTTTATTTTTATTACCTTTATAAAATGATGTGTCCTAATTACATACTAGCTGAACATCTCCCAAAACTCTTTCCCATTGGATATTTTAAAATTCTGTGGTTCCTTAGCACATGTTACATAACACAGCGTTTGACGACGTTCAGAAACACTCATCTTTGTTTTATAGCTGATTTCATCTTTGTATCTTGAAGACTGACAGAGACCAAGTTCAAGTATCAACTCCCTGGAGTATATCTGTTCAGTAACACGATGCTTTATTTTAAGTGTTTTTGGAGTCCACTCTGTTTCTTCCCTCTCTTCTTTTCTGTTTCCTCCCTTTATTTTTACATTAGGTCTTGGTTTTTCTCCTGATGTGGCATTGAATCCTGTTGGACAGAACTGCCATTTGGACTTAAATGGGAGGATTTAAAGTCAAGATTGCAGGGAGTATGGAGATGCAGAGCCCTTGACCTGTAGCCTGTAAGCCTGTCGGGTTTTAGGTTCTCGCCAGATTGTTCATTATTGGAGGGCATGGCCTTCTGCACACAGTGCCCCGTCGTGTGGGTAAAACCAGGTGGAGCCCAAAACACAGACCCAAAGCCCAAATACTCCTATTTCAACATGAAAAGGGGACTGTTTTCCCTTTTTCATTCTTCAGACAAAAAAGTCACCTTCTAGACTGGAAGACAACGGAGCAGAGCCTCCTTCTCAAACACCATTTCCACTCTGTAATGCAGCTCAGCAGCTGGCAAACACATTCACTACAGACTTCAGTATGTTGAGTATCTTCGGGCTACAGACAAAAATTCTGCGGTTTATGACCTACATTACATGCTGTGTGAGTAGAGTTAATACTAACATTTGAGTAGCATCACCGAGGTCGCCAACTCTTATTTGATGCAGACCTCCCTGAAATTCGAGTGTTTAAAGCATAGGAGACGTTAAATTCATTAAGAAGTCAATATTGAATGTATAATCTGCTGCATAAAATAACTTCCACTGTTTGTAGTATTTAATAAGCTATTTGATTGTTTATTGGCCTGGCCTGCAATACATTTCTACACACTGATCTTTCTCAGCCACTTCATTATGTTGGGTAAAAGTGTATCACAATATAACCAAAAAGAATTAGTATATAAAGATTCATTTATTGCTTTCTAAAACCACCCAGTGTCTTTTGTCATCAAAAACAAACCTTCCAGAATGCGTTCTCTGGTTCACAAAAATGGAAACCTGTGTGTTCTTCTAGATTGTGTTCTGACGGCATTCAGAATGCAGCAAAATAGGGAGTGGTAATGAGCTTTGGATTGTGGCTTTGCCTCGCAGCCCTGGCTTTGTGTCTGTGCTTGTATCAAGAGGTGTGGGGAAGAGGCCACAGAAATGGCCCCTGCCAGTTTCTAGAAGATACAGATTACCATGACCTTAGGGGAGAAGCAGTATCGCCTTTAGGGAAGTGATCTAACAGATGACCTCAGTGTAAGAAGACAAATGAAAAAAAAAATTAGGCACCAAAAAGAAAATATTTAAGATGGTCAATTGTTACTTGATTTTGCTAGTCCAGTAATGGAGTTGTTAACTAAATCTTGAACTTGTGTTATCACTAGAAGCAGAACAGAGTAGAAAATCCAAGGGTACCTCAGAGAGATTTGGTATGGGTAGAAAATGCCCACAATGTTTTAAGTTTGTTAAGAGATGCACTGAGAATACAGAGTACCCAACCTGGGATTTTATTTATTTGCTAGCATTTCATTTTCATTTCGTTAACATTGTTTTTCTTATCTCAGAAAGCTGCTTAGAATTTTAGTAAATTTTTATTTTAATCATACTCTTATTTTAAATCTTTGGTGTCTTAATACAGAATAGTCTGACTTTGGGGAAAGGTCCTGCTATCCTGGTGGGCCTGTCGGATTTTTTAACCTAAATGTACAGATTTCTCAATTCCGTGATTCAGCTCTACCAGTAAACTTGCTTACAAGGAGCTTAGTAGGTGAGATGTAGATGGCTTTTCTCTTTTGGAATCATTGATTTAGGATTAAGTTGAGTTGGCCTGTTCAAAATATTTTGGTGACTGAACTGTAGGACTCAGAAGCCAACATACTCTGCAGTAGTCCGTTTGTTGACAATTTGATGCTCATAATTTCTAGGAATTTGATTCAGATATCAGTGAATAATACGGAAGTTTATTGACAAAGGTAAAACCATAAAATCTTGTGTTTGGATTTACTTCCTTGTGGAAAAGTTTTGATCACTGATTGAGAAAGCCAAAGTAGGTGTCCAAAAAAGTTCAGTTTACATTTTCTTCCTGTGGATGCCCGTCAGCTTTCGCACTAAGTATTTTATTCTGCTCACTGCATGTTGCTGTAGGTAACTAGAGCCTGGCATAATTTCTAGGACTTAACATGAGTTTTACTGAGCCATAGAAGGAGGAGGATCACTCATTTTTAGATTGATAGATCCTAGTACAAGTTCAGGTTTCTCTTTTAGAAGCTATATGACCTTGAGTAAATCTTTTAACCTATTTGAACTTCCATTTCCAATAAAATGAAAATGACAAAGCAGACATAGTGCGTGTAAGCTGCTCGGCGCGGTGATCAGCCCGTGGTAAAGTCTCAGCAGTCAGTAGCTGTCATCATCTCACTATTATGTTCTCACTGCTCTTTTGAAATTCAAAATGCCCAGCTGGCCTGAAGATAGTTGTTGCTTTTTATAGCCAGCTCCTGTAGACTCTGCTGTTCCATATGAAATAGTACAGCATATGTGAGCTGGAGAAATACAGACACTTTTCAGGTACCAGTGGCACTGATCTTCGGAACCAGTATGGAGGTTTCAGATCAGGTGCAGAGGGTAATCAGGTACCCAAGAGGGGATGAGTGGTCCCAGAAAGCGGTTGCCAGACCACATAGTCAGAAAGAAGAGAGTGATTCATGAGTAACATTCATGTGGCATAAAACGCAGAAGACTCAGGAGTGTAAAGTATTCTTCCATCTGTAAAGGCAGCTGGTGGAAACTGTGTCGTGTTCTTAGAAAAATTCTGTATATACACACTAAGTACTCACATTTTCAGCTGTTTTTTGTACACATGGCTACCTTGGTTTTCTCCTTTATGTGTTAGAGGTCATTCGGATCGTGTGTAAAAGTATTCCTCTCTCTCTCCCCTTTTTAGTTTCCCAAAGGTATCTTATTGTAAGGAGGATTACCGAATTTTTTTAGAAATTCTTTCAGCTGTATTTATTCATGGTGTGGAGTATAGGGCATAGGTGTTATTGTATACAATTTTCTTATGTGTAGGTTTGTGTAACCCCTTCTCCACCTTTATCCTATCTGCCCCCCCCCATACAAACCCCATCTCCAACCCTTGGCAACCACTAATGGGTTTTCCATTTCTGTCATTTTATTATTAAGGAAAGATATGTATGACACCGTATAGTGTGTAACGTTTTGGTATTTTGGCTGCTTTCACTTGGCATGATTCCCTTGAGACTGATGCAGGTTTTTAGGTCTGTCAGCCATTTGTTCCTTTTTGTTGCTAACTGACATTCCATTCTCCTGCGGAGCTACCCGCTGCACTTAGCTGATTTCTGGCTATGAAGGAATGATAGCAATGGCATCCTTCACATGGGTGTCCTCAGAGGGTGATGAGCACTTCGGAGCCAGCCCAGCACTGTGGGCAACTGCTCTCAAGAGAGCGTGACAGTAATGAGGTGACAGAGGCATCATAGGTTCTGAGAAAACAAAGAACTACTGTGTGCATTTGAAGACCTGAGCAGCAAGCTACTGTGGTGGTTCCTGCTCCGCCCACATCTGAGAGTTAAAGTCCTCAGGCCGCTGCCCTCGGAACCTGGATACTGACATGCACCTGCGCTTCTGTGCTGATGTTTGGCCAGAGCCAGAGCTGACAGCCCTCTGCCTGGGGCAGCGCCTGACATTTGTGATTCTGCAAAGAGCCTGTGGATTTCATGGTTCACTGTGAAAGGAAAGCCATGGCTTTGACTCTTCTACTTAAGAAGCCTGACCCTTCTTCCAGATGCTCGTGCCCTGTGTCTGATGATCGTGATCTAGACTGAGGCCTGATCTCTTCGCTTCTGCCAGGCAGGTGCTGAAATCCCACTCTCCGTTCTGTTACCTCTGGCAGTGCATTGCTCTATTATGATTAGGTATGTCTAATTTTTCTTCTTTTAACTTAAATCCGTGGGGCTCCATGAAGAAGACGGGGACCTCCACAGGGATCAGCGGCCCTGTGAGGTCTTGGGAGCCCTCAGCAGTGTATTTCCAACCCTTTATGTGATCTCCAGAATGACAGAAGTACAACCAACTCTGTTGAAAGATCTCAGTTGACTTGGAGTTGTGATACTAGAATTGGACAGCACGTAATTCCCTAAAGTGGGATGTGTGTTCCCTACCACGTGTTTCCTTTACGGCATCTGGCCCAGTGCCTTACTCCTGTGTCTGTAGAGAATAAATAAGGCGCTGCTTCCTGTGCGCATGGCAGAGCCGGGCAGGTGACGGGTGCGGCAGGAGGGCAGAGACGACGGTAAGGCGGGCAACGAGAGGTCCGACTGGAGGGGGCGACAGCACCTCCTTGGCCTTAGCAGGTTGTGGCCCTGTGGGAATATTCGTCTGTTGTGAGCTTGTAAGAAGAGCGACGGATCAAGATTGTGTGTGTGTGTGTGAGATACTCGATAACTCAGCACCTAGAACTTTAGTTTTGGTTTTGGTTTTTTGGTAAGGGCTTTAGCTCCCTCAGGCTGCCAGGTGCCTGCCGCCTCTGACTTGGCTGCCAGTTTCAAACTGGAAAGAGAAAGAAGGTAAGTGACTTGCTCAGATTCTCAGTCACTCAGTCGAACTGCAGTGGCTGCTTCATGCAGACCTTCGGGAAGTCCAGAGCGGTGAGTTCCCCGGTGCGGAGCGCGTGCTAAGCTGTGGTCCTGGGCTTGCCTTCTTACCCAGATACCATCAGGAGCCGCGCTGTCACCTCAGCAGCCATCTTCCCTCAGCTGT